AAGATTGTGAGGAGAAGCTCCCTGTCCCCTCCTCCCATACAGACCGATAGCACAGTGCCAGAGGAACATCAGTCTTCGAACGCTCATCTAGGCAGGGCCTGCGGCGGGGGTCAGGGGAGCAGGGATGATAATAGAGATCCCCAACAGCTATTTGTAGACGGTGAGCTCCTTTAGGGCTTCTGTGCTCAATATCAAGAGAGATCCGAGAAAAGGAAAGGCTTTCTAAATCTAGTCGGAGAAAGAAGACTGGTGTCTTTCCCATAGTAGGTGTTCAATAAATGTGTAATGGACAAGTGCAAAACAAAGGAGTTATATTTGGTAAATGGATACCATGTGGTAGTTTGAAAAACAGCAGAGGTTTTGGAGCCAGCAGGCGTAGGTTGGAGTCTCAGTTCTGTCACTTCTCTGAGCCTCTATTTCCTCATCTGTAAAATGGGGATGATAACGTTCACCTCAGAGGGTTGTTAGGAGATTAAAGATAATACACGTAAAGTTCCTCAGGCAGTGGACAGTCAGTAGGGAGAGGCTGGCTGGGATAAGTGAGCCAGACAGGAAGAGCCTTAGGCTGGGAGGCAGGTGAGGAAGCTCTGGACTCTAGAAGAGGGGACTTGGGCCTCATCTGAAATGAAGGCAGGGTTCACATGAGAGGAGGGAAGCCATCCATTGTGGATAGATGGAATCGCTGGGACATACATTTTTGTGATGAATTGGAAGTGAACTAAGGGGAGGCAGACCCAGAATATATGTGCTGAGGACCAATGGAAAGGTGGTGACCCAGGCCTGGGCCAACAGGTCAGAAAAAAGGCTCTAGACTAGAGCAAATAGAGTTCACGTTTCATCAACAGACGCCACTGGGCACCGTGCGCCTGTGTGCATGACATGGTTCTGGGTTCCACAGGGAAATGAAGAACATGTTTGGAAGGAAGGGAGAAAGGAGTGTGGGAGACTGACCTACTGCGTGCCTGGCGCTTTGTATGTACCTGAGCGCAGGGTACTGGGAGAATGGTACAAAGCACCCTAGAGCAGGGGCTCCCCAAAGCTGACCCCCGGGTTGGTGCTGGCAGCATTCCAGAAGAGAGGACACTATATAATTTTTTAATATTGGAAAAGTAATTTGATTTGGACCACAGGGAAGATTACAAAGAAAAAGGAATTTAAGTAATGGTGGTATTGTTACTGCACGTTCAGGCTTTAGAGAAACTTCCATCTTTCTCAGTTTTCTTTCTTGGTGCCTTTTGCCTGAAGAGTGAGGTGCGAGTGTGTGTTTTCATTCAGGTGTGGTCAGAGAACAAAGCAGTGCTGTTCTCTCTGAGTCTCTCTAAAATATTTCTGGGTGGAGAATGATCCCTCCCTTTGCAGGATCTCCTGTGTAACTAGTTTTCAAGTTTTTGATGATTTATCACTTAGATTCATATGTAAAGAGTATTCTGCATAAACCAGATCTATTTTCCCTGTTAGCTTTTATGGTCTATAGAGAATTGTTCAAATGGACAAGTCAGACATGGTGGTAGATGGAATGTTCTGAGTGAGGACAAGGAGATTTCAGTGTATCAGGGGAAGGATCTGTTCCACTGCAGCTGAGTCCCACTTGGGATGTGGTGGAGGTGACCCTGGAGAAGTGAGCAAGGGCAGAACTGAGGACAGGGTTTGACTGACCTAACCAGTGACAGTGGGTAGACATGAGGCTGAAGAGCTGAGCTCTGCAGCTGTCTCGGGAGACAGGTAGGATGAGACCTCTGGGAGCAGTGGTCAGTGCTGGAGGGCTGCTGACAAGGGCCAGGAGCCTGGGACCTGCAGACACAGGCTCCTTTCCACCAAGACCGTCTCCAAATGATCTGTACTTGCCCCAGGGAAGGGAGAAAAACAGAACCCTAGACCCTAACATTGCAAGTTACCTTACTCTTCTACCTCAATTTTCCACCTAATGCACAATAAACATGGTCTAAGGAGGACAGTTCCTCACTACTGAAATCTAATGCTACAGTAAGATACATTTCTGCAGAGGGATAAGAGAGAACTTCAGTCCTAAGGCCTCAGTCAGTAAGAGATTCCCTCTCCCATCTTCTTTCTTGTGTCACTACCCGGGGTTAGAATTGCGCTAGAAGTCTTTGGTCAAGGTGTCCTCACTCCAGCCAAAGCAGATGGGATTTTTATGCTCCCCTTAGAAAGTAGAACACTTGGGTTCAAAGAGTCATTCAAAAGATGCCTCATTTTCTCACTCATTATAGACCAACCCAAAGGTATTTTCTTAACAGTGCAGAGGAGAGAGATTGGGCTTAGAGATAGGAAAGGAGTTCTTGAAAGCAAAGGGTGTGAAATGTTGGCCTAAAGGGACCTTGGGAGTTATTTTCCCCTACCAGGCCTGAGTCACAATCAATGGTCGTGGCATAGCAGAAAGAACATGGGCTTTGGAGTCAGACTTGGGTTCCCATCCCGGCTCTGCTTATTAGCTGTGGGACACTGGGTGAGTTGACTTAACGTCTCTGATCCTCAGTTCCCTCAACTGCAACATGATGTGAGAATATTGGCCCCAATGTGATAAACAAATGGAATAAAGCCCATGAAAAGTTCCTGGTGCCACCGCATGGGGGTTATGGGGGCAACATCGTTTCCCTTCTCCTGCTGTTCCCATGGTTACCTCCCTCCCACCTGAACCATGTGAGCACACCAGGAGGCAGGCAGAGAAATTCATTCAATACTTCTTTATTGAGTGCTTACTATGTGGTAGGCACGAGGAATTTATAACAAAATAGACCTCATCTTTCTCCTCATGGGATTTTTCTGTCCAGCAAAGGAGACAGAGGAAACAATTCACAGAGAAAATAAACCTTAAATTACAAATCGTCATCGATCTTTGACGGAATTGAAACATCTCCAGGGTGCAGGAGTGGGTTCTGTCCAGGTAGGTGAGCAGGGAAGACCTCTCTGGAAAGGAGGCAGCCAGGCAGGGAAGTGGGGGAAGCAATCCAGGCAGAGGGAACAGCACACGCCAAGGCCCTGAGGCTGGAGAGCGTTCGGCTTGTGGAAAGAACTGAAAGGAGGCCTTTGTAGCCAGGAAGACTGGTAGGAAAGGAGATTTGGCTTTGATAAGTCAAGGTAAGGAGTTTGGATTTAGGTTTGGTTTGGGGTACAAGAAACTATTGAACAAGAAAGCGACATGATTTAGTTTATAAAGATATTTCTGGCCCCTGCTGCTAGGAGTGTTCAGACTCCTCCATCACAGCCCAGTGTGGGCAGCCCAGGCCTGTCTCAGGGAGCCACCCCCACCCCACAGGCCTAAGCAGAGTGGGTGAGAGAATCCATGCTATGTAGAGAGATGGGCTTTCAGAGGTGGTGCATGCAAGAGGCCAGCCTCCCACCCTAAGATTTAGTACCACCCACTCAAGCAGATGCTTCCATCTCCTGTCAACTAGCTGGGAGCTCCATTTTTTTTTTTTTTTTTTTTGAGACAGAGTTTCGCTCTGTCACCCAGGCTGGAGTGCAGTGGCGCTATCTTGGCTCACTGCAATCTCTGCCTCCCGAGTTCAAGTGATTCTCCTGCCTTGGCCTCCCAAGTAGCTGGGATTACAGGGGCACACCACCACGCCCAGCTAATTTTTGTATTTTAATAGAGACAGGGTTTCACCATGTTAGCCAGGCTGGTCTCAAACTCTTGACCTCAGGTGATCCACCCACTTCGGCCTTCCAAAGTGCTGGGATTATAGGGGTGAGCCACCGCGCCTAGCCCTAGCTGGGAACTCCTTGCACTGAGGTAGGGAGAAAGCAAGGGTGCCCTTTTGGAGCAGGTGGGCTGAACTTCTGTAGCAACTGAAACCCAAGCTGTGAGTCAAGCCTCCTAAGTTATTCTCACCTTTAATGAAATGCTCAGCCTGATTTTATAGGGAAGGAAGTACTGCCAGATCCAGGCCAGAAATTTGCATTCTGTAGCGCCTGTTCAGGCCAGAAATCCCAAGGGCTAGGCCCAGCATGTCCCCTCTGTGGTGGGACAGACAGACTGCCCTGGTCTTCCAGAACCCTTGGGATACCCACAGAAAGAGGTAAAGCTGCTCTGGCCCTCTTCTGAGGACCAGTCAGTGGAGAGCATGCAACTTCCAGCAGCAGCCTCTCTATGAAGGGCTGAGGCCCTGGGCCCGGAGGCTGGAGGAGAGAGGGACCCAGTGACCCCTCAAGCTTCCATCTTGCTCTGTTACCCATTCTGGGGCTGAAGAGAGACCCAAAGATACAGGGTAGAGATTCACACTGAGGTAACTCAGGGAGTGGAATTCAGGGCCTCCTACTGGGATGGAAGTACTAATGACACAACTCCTGAACCTGACCTTAGAGTCCCAGCCATTGACGTCAACAAAGTTGAAATGATGTAACCTGACTCCCCCTGCAGGGCTTGTGCAGGGGCCTGGGAAGGGGGAAGGAGTGGCCAGGAAACTGACTAGTGGACAGAACTCAGGGCAACCCAACTAAGGTCAGGACAAGACAGAGTGAAGGTCTCCTGGCATTGATGTTACAGAAGAATTCGGTGGTAAGGGGCTTCTGGCGGGTGGCATGTGCTATCTGAGCGAGTGGCCCAAATCCTTCCTGAAAGCATTTATCCGGCACTACAGCCACCATCAGGTAAGACAGTGGGCTTCTTCTGGCCACGGATGACACAGCCATGGGGGTGAGCAGCAGCATTGCCATGGCAGCGTGTCGTGTCACATGGGGATTCACATATGTACATATGTGTGTGCATCCCCGTGTGTGCACATATTGCCCCACCTGGGGACGAGGGGTGCCTGGCCACATCTGGAGGGGCAGCAGTACTCCTGTGGCCACGTTGGGGTGGTCTGCATAGGTCTGATGCATTGGGGTCAGAGGGGCAGTCTGGCCTGTGGCTTCTCTCCTCTCCTCACAACTCCAGCCCTGAAAAGATGCTGGGGAGGCCGCTGGGGGTGACCTCTCCTCCCTGGGGTCTGCTATGGAGGGTGCTGAGCCTGGAACTGTGATTCTCCTGTTGGATTTTTCAGGTGGATTTTCTGATTGAAAATGATGCAGAGAAGGACTATCTCTATGATGTGCTGCGAATGTACCACCAGTAAGTGTGCTGGGTCCAGCTCCTGTGGACCACTCAGGTTCCTCTGTCTTCAGGGAGTCCTGGGATGGGTTGTTCTGAGACAGAGGAGCTCAGAGGGTGGATGCTGACTGCTCCTGGAAATCAAATGGACATAGCATTCACTCATTTCAGCAACTATTTATACAAGTACTTTGTACTTGGCTTTGTACTAGGGGCTGGGGTATACTTATGAGCAAGAGAGATTGGTCTCTGTTCTCAGGTTGCTTACAGTCTGATGGAGTAGGCTGTCTAGTAGCCAGATAGATTCAATAGAGAGTGATTGTTGGAACAGAACAAGAAATGCCAACTGGTCACAGCCCTTGCATCAGATGTCTCTGATCACCCACTTGCTTTTTGATTCATTTTGTATACTTTATAAGCTCCTGCCACTGCTGGGCACTATGCAAAATCTGGAAATGAATTAGATCCTCTTTCTTTCCTTGAGTAACTTGTGGTCTGGTGAGGGGAGATGAATATACACTACAAATGCAAAGAACTCTAATGTAAGTTATATCAAATAACTGCTAAGTAGAGGTAAAAGCAGAAATGTGAAGAAAGGAGTTTTCCTTTCCAACTGAGAGGGAAGAGAAAGGACCAGGAAGGCTTGAGCAAGGCTTTGAAGGATAAGAAAGATTTGGGGCCAGGCACGGTGGCTCATGCTTGTAATCCCAGAACTTTGGGAAGCTGAGGCAGGAGGATTACTTGAGCCCAGGAATTAGAGACCAGCCTGGGCAACATGGTAAAATCCCATCTCTACAAAAAAATACAAAAAATTAGCTGGGTATGGTGGTGCGTGCCTGTAGTCCCAGCTACTTAGGAGGCTGAGGTGGGAAGATCACCTGAACCCAGGAGGTCAAGGCTGCAGTGAGCCATGATCGCATCACTGCACTCCAGCCTGGGCAAGACAGCAAGACCCTGTCTCAAAAAAATAATAAAAGAAAAAGATTTGGGTAGGTGGAATATCAGAGAAGGGCATTCCAGAATGAGGGATCAGCATTAGCCGAAGTGTGGAGGCATGAAAGCAAGGGTGTGAATGGGGATAAGTAACCTGGGGGAGTAGGACTTGGGAGGACACAGAGATCGTAAATAGCCACAAGGCTGGAGAAGCTCCACGGGACAGGTCATGGAGGGTCCTGAGCGTGCTGAAAAGAGTGGACTTTGTCCTCTGGGCAGTAAGGAGCCATCAAAGGGTTTTAAGCCAGGGAGTGCCTTACACTGAGAAAAGATGAAATGACAGTGAGTATGTGGGCAGGCAGCTGGAGTCAAAGGTCTGAACAGCGTGAGGGAGGAGGCACGTGAACTGTGGTGAGGTGAAACTGATAGAGCTTAGCAGTAGATACAAGTGGAGATGATGAGTATGTGAGGGGTCCTTAGCATCTCACATAGAGCTTTCCCCTCTGGAAAGATCCCAACATCAGAGATAGTTTGAAATCCTGGCTTCATTTCATCTGCAAAATGGGTCAACAATCCCTAGCGGGCTGGTTTCCTGGGGGCATTTTTATGAGAGAACAAAGCCTTCTCAGGCACTGGCCCAGTGTGAAGGGCTCTGGGCTTTTCAGGAGTGGTCTCCTCCATTCCTAAGCCTGGGCCCAGTGGCTGAAATGGCTTCCTCTTGGAATCCCTGGGTCCCTGAGGTCATGGCCAGGGGTGAGGCTCCAGGCATTCCCGGCATCTCCACAGGACCATGGACGTGGCCGTGCTCGTGGGAGACCTGAAGCTGGTCATCAATGAACCCAGCCGCCTGCCTCTGTTTGATGCCATTCGGCCCCTGATCCCACTGAAGCACCAGGTGGAATATGATCAGCTGACCCCCCGGCGCTCCAGGTGCAGTGGAAGCCACCAGGCTGGAGGCAGGGGGTGGAGAGGTCACCCTGGGATGGACAGAGTTCCTTGCTAGTGGGCGGGGCAGTGCTGGCAGCCAGGCTGCACCATCACCGACCTCTCCTGTGTGGCAGGAAGCTGAAGGAGGTGCGTCTGGACCGTCTGCACCCCGAAGGCCTCGGCTTGAGCGTGCGTGGTGGCCTGGAGTTTGGCTGTGGGCTCTTCATCTCCCACCTCATCAAAGGCGGTCAGGCAGACAGTGTCGGGCTCCAGGTGAGCAAGCAGAGTCCAGAGGGAGGGGAAGCGAGGGCCTCAGACCTCCTGCCTCCCCCTCACTCATCCACTAGGCTGTGTGGCACAATGTGGTCACCCACTTTTCCGAGCCTTTGGGTGAGGAAGACGCTGGCGCATCCTGACGGGTGTTCTTAGACTCATAGAAATCAGGCCGCAGGCAATTGCCTGTTTTCTTGAGTGAAGCTGGAAACCTGGCTGCTGCCTCCTTGCAGCTGCTGCCTCCTTCCAACTGCTGCCGCTGCACTTCCCCCCACCTCCCCTATTCCCCAAGAGAGGAACATGGTGACACCGGCACATGAAGTTTTGGACATGTTGCCTTTTACCAGCAGGGGGAAAGAAAGCCTGGTGCAGTGTGATGCCAAAGAGCACAGACTCTGAAGCAGGGCTAGCCGGGTTCAATTCTGGCTTTTCTCTTCATTAGGCTGTGTGACTTGGTGGAATGACTTAACCCTGTACCTCAATTTCCTCATCTATAAAATGAGTTGCTGATAGTACTGTCTACCTCGTCAGGTTGTATGAGTAAATGAATTAATAGTAGATAGTGCTTATAGCAGGGCCTGGCACACAAATGCTGTGAGTCTGGTAAGTGAACAGACAGAGGGAGATTTAAGAAATGCCTGGAATGTGCCAGGTCACATTCTCACAAGCAGTCCTTGCTATATGCATTGAATGGATCTTTCCCATGTTACAGAATTACCGATAGAGGCTGAGAGACCAGTAAGTGGCAAAGCCAGGATTAGAAACTGGGTCTCCTGACGGCCAAGCCCAGAAATCTCTCTTCAGCAACCCAGGTGCCTCTCCTTTGGGGTCCCCACACCTCAGGGCATGAGCAGAGATGGGCAGACCTCCAGGTCTCACTCCTACCTGAGCCCAGGGCCCTGTTTTTGTGTGTTGAGATAAAGGAGGCCCTCCCACTGTCACCAAGAGCTTCCAGCGGGTTTGTTATCAACACCCCAATCCGGGCTGCCAAGCTGGGGCTTCAAGGGGCTCAAAGGCTAATGGTACAAGACACTGGGGCGTAGGGGGTGGAAACAGGGAGCTGACAGACACTGCTTTGTTCTAAATCCCTGTCTCACGGCTCGCTGGTGGTGTCTGAAATTTCAGCCCCTTCATTATTTCTTTCCTCTGCGGCACATTTTCCAGCTCAGAAACCCAGCCAGAGAAAACACATAATGAGCTCCTCTCTTGGCGTCAGCTGAGGCCGCCTTTTTTCCAGGGCGAGCTCTCCTAGGACAAGCAGTTCTCAATGCTGCCTCGATGACTGGGGGCGTTGGGGTATTTTAATGAGACCTAGAGTTTTACCTTCCTGGATCTTTCTCAGGCTTATGAATTATCGGCCCTTTCTCTAGCTGACGGGTTCATCTCTCCTTTGTGCTGCTGTCCCTCAGATCGTTATATCATCGTGGCCCTTGCACAAAGGGCCCTTTACAGGGTTTCACACACGGCAAGAGGGGAAGGAAAGTTGATCCTGCAACCTGAGCCAGGGGCTGTGTGGGAATCATTCCGACTGAGGTTCTGGGCAAATTCCCTTTAGGAATAAGACAGGGAACTTCACTCAGAGGAGCTTGGGGAAAAATGGCTGCATCCATTGACCTGTCTGGGGTTCATGTTTCTGAGGAGATCTCATGCCTGAGGGCAGCTGGGAGAAGATGCTGGAAGGCAGGGGAGGGCAGGTTCAGATACAGCCTGGCTGGGCTAAAGACCTGTGCTGATTTGACCCGTGAGGCTGGGTCCCCAGTGGTGGACTTGGACCCTCCCACAGGACCTAGTCCTGGGGAGCCACCCCTCTGCCCTTATCCCCTGCTGGAGATACTTGAAGGTTTTTTTTGTTTTTTGTTTTTTGTTTTTTCAAGAATATCCTAACTTGACCTACGTCCTCTGCCTTGCACAGGGCAGCATGTACCATACAACTTGCTGTATATTCCAGGCCTAGAAAATTATTCTGTGTGCCTTGGTTGTCCCTGTCATAACATGGACAGTGTAATGCCTGCCTTTGTGTGGGACTTGAGGGCTCTGACAGGTGGCAAGGATCCAGAGAGGGCAGGATGCAGGGAATTGCAGCCAGGCTTGGCCGGGTGCCCGTCTTTTCTGCTTCCAGACACCTAGGAAACACCACTTGTCTATCAGGGAGACCTGACTTCAAACCCCACGACACTGTTTACTAGTGGGGTAACCTTGAGCAAGTCACTTTACCTCTCTGAGTCTCCGTTTTCTCATCTGATTAACAGAGATACAAATTCCTGACCTGCAGGGTTATCGTGAAAAATAGGTGGAAGGAGTTAGTCTGGCCACTGTCCTTGAATTAGATGTTCCCAGAAACCTAGAGGGTTCTTTAGTGTGCCCCCACTCTGGTGCCATTTTGAGCCCTTGGCCACTCCTGTCAGGTCCCTGAGAAGACTGGGGTCTGGGGTCTGGAAGCGTTCCTTGGAACAGTGAGAAAGTGACTCTGTGGGAGTGCTGTAGAAGGCAGGAGTTACCCTAGAGGACCCCTCGGAGGCTGTATGTCCACCCAGCCCCTACCTATCTCGGTCCACAGGGAGTCCAGCTTTCGTCCCTCACGTATGCCAGCAAGTCTCCAAAGGGTGAGCATGTGTGTTTTGAGTTAAGCCCCCAGCTGACCTGCACTGGCCTCAGACAGGAACCTCTCCAGGAGCCAGTCTCTGTTTTGCAGCTACTGGCTGTGTGACCTTGGACAAAACCTCACTTCCTTGGGCCTCAGTTTCAGCTGACATCTGAGAGTCCCTCCTGCTCTGTGGTTATTAAATGAGGAGCTCCAGAATTGATCCCCAGGGCCAGGGTGCCTGGAGGAGCCGGCAGTGTCCAGCAGGGGGCAACCTCACCACAGCGCTGTATCCAGGGCTGGCTGCCCAGGGCCGAGTCCCTATCTCACAATCCGCTGTGGCCTAAGCCCTGAGAAGAGAGATCTGAGCTGAGTATTCAGGGATCAGGACTAACTCATGATAACAATAACACTCATGTATTGAGTGCTTACTGTGTGCCAGGCACTAGCTGGCTTTACATGCACAAGTTCACTTAATTCTCACAGCAACCTTGGTATTCCTCATTTTACAGACGAGGAAAACAGGTTCAGAGAGTTCAAGAGACTTGCTCAAGGTCACATAGCTAATAATAATAAAAGAAGGGATTTGAACCCAGCACATCTGATGCCAAAGCCCTGTGCTCATCCACTGTTCTTTGCTTGCTCCCAAAATAGGAATTGAGAGGTCAGGGCCACGGCAGAGTTAAAATGTTCATCAAGTTTCCATATGGTGGGGAAAAAAAAATCGTGTGTGTGTGTGTGTGTGTCGGTGATGTGAGCTTGGGTCAGGAGTCACAGAAGGTCCCCACCCTGACTCACTTACAGTGTTGTAGCAATTAGCAGAAAAAGGGAGCCAACTTCCTAGGGGCGGGTTGGGACAAAGTCCCGGTAAGAACAGCTTAAAGCTGAGTGAAAGGTCACCCTTTGCATAGAATCCAGAATCTGATGGTGCCCCAGTGGAGTGAAAGGGGCACCAGGGTGAGGGTGCAGAGAGTTCTGAGATCTTCTCCCAGCTCTGCTGCACACCTGCTGTGCCCCTCACCTCTGTCTTGGTCTCTCCATCTGCAAAATGGGGCGGCAAGACTGCTTGGACATGCCACCTGAACTTGGGATCCCCCAGGCGGGATGGAGGGTGGGTTGGTTGAGATCAAGGCTTATTCCAGGGGATGGCATGGCCACCCTTCCCTTTTCCGGATAGCAGTCTGGGAGCATCTGGTGGTGAGTCTGCCCCACTGCCTGATGCTCCCTCCAGCCAGTGCTCCCTGCCTCTCTCTGTGGTCAAGGTAGGGGACGAGATCGTCCGGATCAATGGATATTCCATCTCCTCCTGTACCCATGAGGAGGTCATCAACCTCATCCGAACCAAGAAAACTGTGTCCATCAAAGTGAGACGTGAGTGAGACTAGAGCAGGACAGGGCTCCATGATGGTGGGAGGGAGGGAGGGTGGAGGAGCTGTCCTAACCCCTGTGCCTTTCTCCCACAGACATTGGCCTGATCCCCGTGAAGAGGTGAGAGGCCCCTCCTCTGCAGGCCGACTCTTCCCTGTGGGCCCGGGGTCCTGGTACAGCCCTGGGGTCCAGCACTCACCATGCCAGCCCTGCTCCTGGGCCAGTGGAGGCTGGAGGTTGTAGACATGGTGGATCTGGATTTGGGGCCTGGTTCCTCAAACGTCTCTCGCTAACCACCCTTCCATCTATTTTCCCTTCCCATCAGCTCTCCTGATGAGCCCCTCAAGTGGCAGTATGTGGATCAGTTTGTGTCAGAATCTGGGGTAAGGGCCAGACCTCCTGTGATGGGGTTTGGGTGGGGTCATCTTCAAGGATGGGCGGCCAGTCCTAAAGGGAGGGCTTGCTCTAGAGATGCACTCTCAGGGACTTCACACAGGCCCCCAGGGCAGCCAGCACACTGCTGTGGGGCAGTGGCCCTCAGCCAGGCCAGGCTGGTGCAGACACATCCCCAGGGACAGAATGATGATCTGGCTGGTGTGAGTTCAGCAGTGCTCGCCCTGCAGGTCCCACGAGCTCAAGAGGCCGCTTGCACGCATGTGGACACTCAGAGATTCTGCTTCTATCTCCCTTTCAGGGGGGGCGAGGCAGCCTGGGCTCCCCTGGAAATCGGGAAAACAAGGAGAAGAAGGTCTTCATCAGCCTGGTGGGCTCCCGGGGCCTTGGCTGCAGGTGGGTGGTGGGCATGCCCCGGGGTCATTCGTGGCCAGTGCACCCCAGCAGGCCCCTATTACCCTCCCCTTCCTCACTGCTGCTTCTGAGGAAACCTTGCCCACCAGGGGTGTGACTTGTCCATGGGTGATGGTATTTTTTTGTTAGAGACAGGGTCTGGCTCTGTCACCTGGGCTGGAGTGCAATGGCGTGATCATAGCTCACTGTAGCCTCGACCTCCCCAGCTCAAGCAATCCTCCCACCTCAGCCTCCTGAGTAGCTGGGTCTACAGAAACACACCATGACACCCAGCTAACTTTTAATTTTTTTGTAGAGAAGGAGTTTTGTTATGTTGCCAAGGCTGGTCTCAAATTCCTGGGCTCAAATGATCCTCCCACCTCAGCCTCCCGGAGTGCTGGGATTAGAGGCATGAAGCACCGCGCCCAGCCTTGGTGATGACACTTCCTGGTGCCTGATTTCCCCTCTGAATTTCACGACAGGCCTGTAGGGCCCGAGGGGCATCTCTAATAGATCCCAGTTTACGGATAAAGAAATTGAGGCCTAGAGGCAGAACCATGTTACCTTGTAGGTCCTTGAGTCACTGCAAAAGGAGCCTGTTCAGCTGGTCATCTCTGTCACAGTTCTCTTATCACTTATTACCTTGTCGGCTTCGTTAAGAGGCAGACGGGGAATCCAAACAGATACTGGGCCACACGGGGCTCAAGCGTGCAGGTTCCACCGTTACTCAGATCCCAGTTCCAGCCCTGCTTTCCTACTTAAGAGCTCTGGAACCTTGGGCCAGTTACTTAACCACTTGGAGCCTCAGTTTCTCCCTCTATAAATTGATGATAATAATTCTCACATCACAGGGTGATTGTGGAGAAAGTAAAGTACCAAGCTTAGTACCTGCTAAACAGTAAGCAGTTGGTAAATACTAGCTGTTATGATTTGAGTTATTCCTCTTCTTTCCCTTCATTCACATTTATTCCATGTTTTGTGCCAAGCATAAGTGATAAAGAGTCCCTCCCTTCTGGGAGACAAGAGCCTAATCTAGAAGCCAACCACATAAGCAGTTATAATATAGGGTGATAGGGACTCAAATGGAACTACATTCTGTGTCCGGGATGGCAAATAGGTGCCATCTCTAATCAATTAGTAGGAGCTCCCTGGAGTGCTGCTTTGAAAAGGATTCTAAAGCTATATCCAGGCTTGAGGGAAAGAGTGCTGTGATCAGTGAGTGATTTCTGCCACCAATCTAGGAAGGAATAATAACAGTACATGTGCCATTCCTGTCGTAAATGTCATAGGAGCACTGAGAACCGAGCAAATAGCTTGGTCTTGGGATAGAATAAGGGATCTGAGCCAGGCATGGTGGTGTGCACCTGTAGTCGTAGCTAGTCAAGAGGTTGAGGTGGGAGGATTGCTTGAGCCCAGGAGTTGGAGGCTGTGGAGAGCTATGATCACACCACTGCACTCCAACCTGGGTGACAGAGCAAGACCCTGTCTCTAAAAAATAAATTTTTTAAAAAAGAGGATCTGCTGAAAACCTTATAGAAGGGATAGCATTTGGTTCTTAAGGAATGGACAGGAAAGCGTTAGAAAGAAAAAAGAAACAACATATGAGGTATATTAGGTGAGAGATTGGGTAGGAAGAATTACAAGGAGTTTTCTGTGGCTGTTGCCCAGGGTAGCAGTAGAAATCAGGCTGGACGGGGAGACAGAGGCTGAAGAGGTAGGCAGCCGAGGGCCTTCAGTCCTGAGTTCATGAGTGACCTGTATCCTAAGCACACATTTCCCACCTCCCACAGCATTTCCAGCGGCCCCATCCAGAAGCCTGGCATCTTCATCAGCCACGTGAAACCTGGCTCCCTGTCTGCTGAGGTGGGATTGGAGGTGAGTGACGCTGGGCCGGCCCCAGTGGGGGCCCACTGGAAACTGGGTCAGACTGTGATCCCGCGGTGACAGGGGCAGGTGCCTTTCCACATGGCCCTCTTTCGGCGGTCACTGATCAGGAGGAGCCCTACCCACCCTGCAGAGAAGGCTTCACAGAGTGGGGACATTTGACCCTTCTGCAGCCTTCCATAGCTCTGATGGTTGTTGGTCGTGAGCTTGGGAATGTCATAATGATAATCAAAGAGCGGACCTTCAGGGTCCACTTGCATCGGACATTGTTCCACGCCCTTTACACTTCACAAGAACGCTGAGGATTAAGTGCCACCATTATTATCCCCACTTTACATATGAGGAAACTGAGACCCAGAGAAAGTATATGATTTTTCTGAAATCGTGTACCTAGCATGGTAGGACTGGAATTCAAACCTAGGTGGTCTCATCCCAAAGCAGGAACCCTTAACCTCTTCTTTGGACAAGTTACTTCATGTCTCTGTGCTTCAGTTTCCTTACCTATAAGATGGGGATAATAAAGCCTTTCTTCCAAGGTTGTTGTGTGGGTTAAAGTAGTTAATATGTATACTAGAACTGTGCCAAGCACACTGTAAGTGATCAGTGAATGTTAGCTATTCTGTTATGATGATTCAACACAGCCTCTGCTAAATGAGAAGCTCAAAAGTTTCCGCATCTACAAACTGTGATTTCTAAAGCAAGTGTCATCAAATTTAGCCAAAAAAAGAACATGTAATGGTATAATATTTGATAGTTGATAAGGTAGTTATGAAGTAGGGGAGTGCCAGGGTCAGCTTTAAGCCCTCCCAGAGCTCCACCAGAGCTTTCCAACTGCTCCATTCATCAGGAGGAACTGAGGTACAGCCACTTGAAGACCCAGCATCTGACCCAGAACCCCTGGGGGCGCCCGTCCTGCAGATGAACGAGTGTACAGATAGCGTAAACACACTAATCTTTTTCCACTTCCCCACCAGACAGGGGACCAGATTGTCGAAGTGAATGGCATCGACTTCTCTAACCTGGACCACAAGGAGGTGAGATGTAGGGGTCTTCACCTGCTGGCCTTTGTCATCTCCACACCCCACTTCTCACCCCCACCACCCTGAAGCCTGGGGCCTTCTGTGCTCTCTGCCTGGACTGCTCTGGTCTGTCAGGCCTCGATCCACTGTCCTTCTGTCCCCACAGGCTGTGAACGTGCTGAAGAGTAGCCGCAGCCTGACCATCTCCATCGTAGCTGGAGCTGTAAGTCCAGAACGAGCTGGTGGGAGCCCCTTGACCCTCATCCCCAGCCCCTCTGACCTTTGATCTCTGCCACACACTCCCAGGGTGGCAGGTCTCCTTCCCTGAAGCTCTGACAGAGCAGACGGAGGGAGAGGACTTCTGCCCAGCAACAAGTTTGGGTCAGGGATTGCAGGAGCCACTGTGCCTGATGGTGCTGAGAAGACCACCTGCATCTCGGCCCCCAAGGGTGTGGCAGGGGATCCCCAGGGGCTGAGCAAGGGGCCTCTTTTCTCCCACGAGGGCCGGGAGCTGTTCATGACAGACCGGGAGCGGCTGGCAGAGGCGCGGCAGCGTGAGCTGCAGCGGCAAGAGCTCCTCATGCAGAAGCGGCTGGCGATGGAGTCCAACAAGATCCTCCAGGAGCAGCAGGAGATGGAGCGGCAGTGAGTGCAGCCAGCCCTGGGTGCCCTGCCCCACCATACAACCCCACCTAGCTTGTGTCCTGCCTGCTGTGTCCCCAGCTAATTTCCTCCTCCTCCCTGGAGGCCAGTCCTCAGACCAGATGAGTTTGGTGGTGGGTCAGTGTATCCATCCTTGGCCCCTTCCTCCTTGCTGAGCAGAGACCCCTGACTTCCAAGATTCCAAGAATGTGGAAAATAAGCATCCTACTAGCAGTAGGCTCTAGCTAGCTAGGATTAGCTACTAGCTAACATTTGTCAAGTACCTCTATAAGGCTGGCGTTGTATTAGGGCCTTGTTTATGTTTCTTAATTCCTACAATAGCCCTGGGAGGTAGAGGTAGAGAGTATTAACCCCATTTTACAGGTGTGGAGACTGACACTCAGAGAGGTGAAGCCACTTGTGTCCAAAGTCACACGTGGCCAAGCTGGGATCACCCCCAGGCAATCTGGCAAGTCCCCACAGGGCTGCCCTGCCTATAGTGATAAAGCTCGTCCCTGTCCAGGACGATTGAAATGATGACCTAAGAGAATAAATGGGGTGAGCAATTCATAAATCAAAAACTACTGTCAAGATCCAAACCCAAATACATTCTAGGCATTTAAAAGTATTTCATGGCTAGACGTGGTGGCTCACACCCTGTAATCCCAGCACTTTGGGAGGTCAAGGCCGGCAGATCATTCGAGGTCAGGAGTTCGAGACCAGCCTGGCCAACATGGTGAAATCGTGTCTCTACTAAAAATACAAAAAAATTAGCTGGACATGGTGGCATGCGACTGTAATCCCAGCTTCTCAGGAGGCTGAGGCACGAGCATCACTTGAACCTGGGAGGCAGAGGTTGCAGTGAGCCGAGATCGCACCACTGAACTCCTGGGTGCAAAGTGAGACTTTGTCTCAATCAATCAATGTATTTTGAAAAGGAAAGAGGAAAGGCTGTCCCCATCTCCCCCGTCACAGAGTTAGCTGGGAGTATTCCGCCTGGCTAGGAGCCCCTGCTTTGCTCCTGGGGTCAGTCCAGGCCCCGCCTGTCATCGGTCACCTTACCTAAGTATTTGGAGGAGGGAGCATGAAGTGTGGCCTTCACGTGGATCTGCTTCCCTGCTCCCACAGCCCAGCATCTCTGCTCAGCCATGCCAGACAAAACCATACAAGAGCACGGGGCCTAGACTTTGTTAGATAACGTCTCCCAAAACCAAAGCTTGTCCAGGCCTCCTAGGAAGGAAGCCTGGAGAAAAATCATTTCGAAGTTTTCTCAAAGCAAGAATTCACAGTAAAGAAGAGTTCATTTCTCTTGCATAGGGCCAAACATGCCAGTCTGCATTTGTGTTTCAGAAGGAGAAAAGAAATTGCCCAGAAGGCAGCAGAGGAAAATGAGAGATACCGGAAGGAGATGGAACAGTGAGTACCTCGGCCCCATGCGTGTCTGTGCATGAACATTAGTATGCTCGGGGGAGTGTGGTCAGCCAGAGGCTGCCTCGAGAACCAGTTTACCTGGTTCTCTATCCCCTGGTGGGTCCTCCTGCATTTGTAGTAAAGCATGTCATATTATAGTAACTGGAACATAGTCTCATATAATTGCCAAGGTGGGGTTCACACTCAATTTAGAATACAAGCTCCGGGACTTTGCTTGATTCACCACAGCTAGAACCAAGGGCTTCCCCTGGGCTCGTTGGGGCTCTCCGAAATGCAAGAGATGGGCCTATGAAGGTTCTGACTCCAGTAACAGGCATGGGGGTCTCATTTCAGGATTGTGGAGGAGGAAGAGAAGTTTAAGAAGCAATGGGAAGAAGACTGGGGCTCAAAGGAACAGCTACTCTTGCCTAAAACCATCACTGCTGAGGTGCACCCAGTACCCCTTCGCAAGCCAAAGTGTAAGTTTCATGAGCCGGGGGAGAGGCTAAGGGGACTAGACAGAAATGCTGGCCCTCCCTCCCCTCACCACCACCCCCAGGTGGATAGCCCTTGGTGCTCTGGGCTGCGGTTCCTTTATGGAGGGGCAGCTGTGGGTCAGAGACCATCTGCCCCAGCATCAAGGTAGGAGGGATCTGTCTGCTCCGCTTGTTCACAGGCCAGCTCCACATACCCAGCTCCCAGGTCCCACACAACACTGATGCGGGCAGGCTGTCAGGCTGCTGAAGAGGGAATAAGGGCCATGGCAAAAGTGGGCTAGCTCATGGGATTACCGTCCTAGTGTTTTGGGTGTCGGGTCCTCCTCCTACTTTGTTCTGAACAGGGACTGGGGTGAAGCCAGCAGCAAAAAAGAGAGGAAGGAGCTCACATCAGAGAAGGGCTCTGATGGTCCAAGGTTGATTCATAACTGTGGGAGAAGCTTACTAAGTATCTCCAGCCCCTATATCCCTGTACGTGGACCACTGTCACGCCACTCCAAGGATGGAGGCAGAAACAGGACTAGGAAGCTTCTTCCAGACACCCAGCTGTGGGCTGCGGCTGTGCTATTCTGGAGCCTCAGCTCATATTCACCTTACCATCTCCTCTCTTCATCTGTCCCACATCCTCACCTCCAGTTTCAGTCTAGGCCTCTACCACCTGCTCCCTGACCACCTTCTCAACCCCCGTTTCCAGATGCCTCTTTAAGAGGCAGCCCACACTGCCAGAGGAAAACGGAGGTCATGACAACCACAAGTCCAGGATTGCTGGTTGGGTCCTTACTCCTGCCTTCCAGCTGTTTTGACTTATAGTTGACACAGGACAGGTGTTACTCCAGCTGATTGTGCTCAGCTGACCTGGGAACCTCCAGCTAGGGGCGAATCTGGACTCAAGAGCCCAGGTTCCCCATCTCTGCTGTGGGGCAGTCATTTGGCATGCTGTGATGGGGTCTCAACAGCTCTGTCCCCAACTTTGGGTCACATCTGAGACCTATGGGAATGTCAACCTGCCAACACAGGCCATTTGCACCAAGGAAGAGGTGCAGGGTATCTGGATGGTTCCATTTCACCCCTCCCTGGTACAGGCAAGCAGCTCCCAACACATTTCTTCCTGGCAGCAGGGCAGTGTCATCTCCTGGTCCTCTCCGAAGGACAAAGCACCCTCTCATCGGCCTCCCCCATGACATTCAGTATCGGTTGAGGATGTAGCCAGAGCTAAGCTCCCAATGAACGATCCCTGTTTTAGTCGGGCAGCTAATTTGCTCTTATGAGTGAAACAGGAGCTTCAGGAGAGAAATCGATTTTAATTGCTTCTCATGGAAGTAATCCTAGTCAATTTGGTACCTTCCAAGAAACTGGGCCTCAGCTTCACAGCAAACACACCCTCTTAGGAACAAAAGAAAATAAAAACCCTTTCACTAGCTGGTTTTTTATTTAGTGCTTTTTAACCAAATCAAGCTCCTTGAATAAAAAGACGAAGAATTTTGCATTTGCTCAAGGTAAATGTAATCCTAGGCAGCTCCACAAAGCACAGGATGGATGACCCCCGCCGGCCTGCTGAGCTGGGACAGCTGCTGCCTCTATCTGTCTCCGTATGTGCCAGCAATTTAATTCTCATTTGGACCTAAGGCAGGAAATGCAGTGAGGTCCCTGAACCAGCTCACCTGCTGCCTCACTCCCTGTTCCCCAGGGGCTAGCATGGTCTAGCAGGCCTGGGCCCCAGCCAGCTCCTACCCAACCACCCTTCAACTCAGGGACCCAGTTTGCAATGGGTTATACCTGCCTCAGGTTTCCATGCCTGCAAGGGGTGGGCCCTGCTTTTTTTTTTTTTTTTTTTTTCTTGAGACGGAGTTTCGCTCTTGTTGCCCAGGCTGGAGTACAATGGCATGATCTCAGCTCACCGCAACCTCTGCTTCCCAGGTTCAAGCAATTCTCCTGCCTCAACCTCCCAAGTAGCTGGGACTACAGGCATGCGCCACCATGTCCGGCTAATTTTGTATTTTTAGTAGAGAGGGGGTTTCACCATGTTGGTCAGGCTGGTCTTGAACTCCCAACCTCAGGTGATCTGCCCATCTCCACCTCCCAAAGTGCTGGAATTACAGGCAAGAGCCACCGCGCCTGACCCCGGGCCCTACAGTTTTTTAAAATAAAAGAACATGGGGCATCCCTTACCTAGAAAATGAAGTCACTCATCCTAATGATGTGCCTGGGACTGACTGCCCCCCAACCTGCCCCAGGGGGCTCTTAAAATTGCTGCAGCCCACCTACCCATGGCTGATCCAGCAGACCCCCAACATTTTGCCAAGCCCTGAAGGCTGGGACACCACCACGGAGGCTCCTAACAGACCTTCCCTTAGCTTAGGCAATAGGTGGTTACATGGGACTTGAGGGGGCAGCCTTGGCTAAGGATCCAGTAGCTGAGGGATTCTTGAAAGAGGGAGATGTTTAAGAGATCTCCAACCTTCTCTCCCTATCCAAGGCCCCATCAACTATCTCCCTCACCTCCACCACAAGAGACCCCATGATTTGGAAGTTGAGGTTATTTTCCTAACAAACTATTAAATAATCATTTGTGTTCCATTGTTTTATTAAGTAGCCCTTGTTAGTAAGGGAGCATCAGGGTTCCACTGTTGGGTAAATGTAATTTGAGCCAAGAGCCAAAGAACTTAACAGCCTTTGCATAGGCCAATGGGCAAGTTCTGTTAAGCTTTTAAAATATTAAAAAGCAGCTCACAAACAAACTGGTACACTACCTTCCAGAGTCCTAGGGAGGCCAGAGTCCAAGCTGGAAACACTGGAATGGAGGGTCTGCTCTTCTCTCCACATTATGTCAAAATTCAGGTCTTCCTAACTGCAGGTGCCCCTTTTACCTTTTGGGATGTCCCCACCTCCTCAGGACCTTCAGCCTCCATCTGCTGCCCACACTGTTCAGACATCCCCTGGGGACCCAGAGCTCCAAGGCAAGGGTGATAAGCAGAAGGCAGGAGGGTCTTTCTCCCATTGCAGCCCCTTGCCCTCAAATGTGTGCGATTCTCAGATATTCCCATCCTCCTCGCTGCACTTCCCAGCCTTCAGCCCAACATCCTACAAAATGGTTCTCACGCTGCCCTCAGATCTGAGTTTCCTGTTGTTAGCCCTTTGTACAGACAGATAAACTAAAGCTACTAAGGTTGAAAGCACTGTATACACCAGCTCAGAGCAAAAAACCTTTGCTCTGCGCTCCTGAACTCTGTCCCTGCCCCTGACCTCACAACTCCCCTGGAGGAAGCTGATCACAGGTCTCCACACTCCTGAGAAGCTTCTCCAGCCTCTTGGTCTCCCAAGTCCCTTTTGGTTCACCAGCTTCCTCCTCTTTTCCCCGGTAGATCAGGGAGTGGAGCCTGAGCTCGAGCCCACAGATGACCCGGATGGAGGCACGGAGGAGCAGGGAGAGCAGGTTCGCGCCCCCGCTTTGCTCCCTGGCCTGGCTGCTCTGCTTGCCCTGCCCGCCTCCTCCTGACCACAGTGCAGACACCCAGCTTCAGGGGACCAGCATGTATGGGGGCCACTAGAGTCTGTAAAGCTCCTCCAAGCCCTAGCTTGGCCCAAGCACTGTACACAAAGCGTAGAGGACAGGACTCAACCCCGAGGGTGGTAGATCAGCTGTCGCACACCGGTACCACTGAACTGCTGGCTCGAATATTTAGATATTGCCAAATTCCTCCTCTGCTGCTCTGGCCCCTCCCCCAGGACCCCCTAGACCACTCCCAAATCCAGCAACTAAGGAGGTAGTGTCTGGTCCAGCAGGGGGTCTTCAGCATCCTGTTCCAGCACTCAGGCTGGTCCGGGGTGGGTAATTCAGCCATCGCTCTTGGCCCCAGGGAGCTTCAGATTAGGGTTATTACTCTGTGGAGCTGTGGCCTAGGGAAGGAAGGGGGCTGGTGCACTGGTTATCTGGCCTGGATGAGGATATGTTTTCTGGGGGCACATCTCCTGCTCACTCCTGCTGGAGCTGTCCTTCCCAGAGCTGTCCCAGCCACTGCCTTCTCTTTCAATGTTGAAAGTGGAGGACTTGGCCTGCACTATGAGACAAGCCAGTTTTGTTGTGTCGAACAACAGTTCTAGGCAGACACCCAGGCTCCCTTTTGTCTTGAGCCATTTCTTGTATGGAGGGACCAGACATGGGTTAGAAAAGGCCTTGTTCTCTTTCAACAAGGCTTGGTATGTGAAGACTGTGATTTGGAAAAGCTCGTCCTTCCACAAGGGGTTTTCTCTTTGATGTTCTGGCCCTGACTTCTGAAACCAGTGTCCTGGGGAGAGGCATTTGAGAGTGACCCAGGGCCTGGGAACTGGGGCTTTTCTCAGGTGGTCTTAGGCCTGTTCTGCAACCAACGCGAGGCCAGGTAAGCAGAGTTGGACAAAGCGTGCAGTTTTGCTGTTGGATCGGCCAGTGCTGTTCATCTCACAAAGCCATGCATTGCTTGGGAACCCAGCTCCCATCTGCTGCCCATGGATGCTCTGGCTGAGCTGAACTGTGTCTCATCATTTTGTTATCTGTGTTCTTATAGCTTTTGGGTGGTTTTATCGTTACGATGGCAAATTCCCAACCATCCGGAAGGTAGGACAGGGTTGGGTGCTATGCTGGTGTGCTGCTGAGTTTGCTGTGGGTTTTGGCTTTTCCCAAACATTCCTTGTCCTGTCAACACTAAATGGTGTGACTTGGCCTGTTCACTTGGAAGGCTAACCCCATCTGCATCTCTGTGTCAGGCTGACATCAAATGGCAGGGTGCCATTGCAAAGGCAACATCGGGGGAAGGATCCATGGTGTGAGACCTACCCAAGTACCATCTGGCACTGTGTGCATCAGCGCCGGCCCTGATGGGTACAGAAAAGGGGCAGGATGCTTCTCCTTGTTTCTCTGTCAAGTAGAACTAGAGACCAAGGCCAGAAGCTTGGGGTCAGACAGAGCGAATTATCAGGGTGGGTGTACCTAGTGCATGTTATGAGACCGGCTGTGCCAGATGCAGCCTGCCTGACGAGGTGGAGATTTGCTGCCTCAGGTCGGGACAGAGACCCACTCCAAGCACAGCCCTCTCCTAGGAATATCTCTGCATGTGCCCAGGATAATGCATTTTTCCAATCTCTAGGACCTTTAATTTTCTCTCTAAATCTTATTACAATATCTCCAGGCCTTGTAAAACTCTCTTGTCCTTGTCTTTCTAAATCACATTGACATTTGATTGTGAAAACATTGCTGTTAACGTCTGTAATTGGACATTCGAGATGACTTGGTATTTGGAAGTCAGGCAACAGCATAAATCTGGGTGAGCTAAATTGGATGTTATCACTTGACCAGCGCTTTCTGGCAAGATGTCAGTCCCCCAGAAACCAGAGCTCTGGCAGCTGAGTGACCTTGAGGATAAATAACTTCTCCCTGCCTGTAAAATGGGAATATTAACTGTGCCAGGAAAATCTACCCCCTTCCTCCAGCACATTGCTATTAAAATAACAAACAGTAATATTTTTCCTGACAGAGGTAAATGCCTCTATCTAGGAAAATAGATCATGATTTGTACAGCACTGAATAAACTTGGAACAGAGTTCCTCAGGGAATTCCTTCCCACATTGTCCTGGTCTCAGAAAGGCCTTGGTCTCATAAGACTATCTGTTTCACTTGACAGGCTGACTTCGGTGGCTTAGGATGCCTCATTGGGTTAGATTTCTAATTCTTCTCTATATACTGCCTCTACTAGAACTCAGCTAGAGAGGACAAAACACACACACACACACACACACACACACACACACGCACACGTAGAATTTTACCCCCCCCCCCAAAAAAATAAAGGAGACAGATATGTCAAATCTTTTTCAGACACTAATAACATGTAAACATAAAAGAACTAGAATCTTCCCCATATACCACCTCCCATCAGAAATCATGTCCTTGAAAGTGCTGTTGATAAAGAATTAGGGCTGCCTTTCCCCTATTCCTTAATCTACTTATTCCAGAAACAGCTGGCATTTTGGTTTTCATTTTCACTTCCAAAAAAAAAGAAAAATTGCTTCTGGGTAAAATCAATAGCACAGTCGCCCCATCTGCCTCCCCTCTCAGTCTGGACCAAAAGGAATGTTGTAACTGACAGGCCATGGATGTAACTGACAGGCCATGGATGTAACTGACAGCTGAAAGGACAACAGAACCATGCCCCTCGTCCTGGCTCTGAAAACCCATCATCATTTTTTCTAGAGCCGTGACAGACTCTTTGTCTCCCAGCAGCTGGAACGCCAAGTCCCCAGGAAATGCAAGTGGGCATCTATGGCCATGATCATCTGTGCATAAATTCCCCTTATTAAAAAATAGAAAGATTCAGCTCATGCCTATAATCCCAGCACTGTGGGAGGCTGAGACAGGTGAATCACCTGAGGTTGGAAGTTCAAGACCAGCCTGGCCAACAGGGTGAAACCCTGTCTCTGTTAAAAATTCAAAAATTAGCCGGGTGTGGTGGCACATGCCTGTAATCCCAGCTACTCGGGAGGCTGAGGCAGGAGAATCACTTGAACCCTGGAGGTGGAGGCTGCAGTGAGCCAAGGTTGCACCACTGCACTCCAGCCTGGGTGACAGAGCAGGACCCTGTTTCAAGAAAATAATAATAATAATATAAAAATTCAGTGTCTTCTATTTCCACCTTGACAGTAAATCCCTCTAGGGCTCAAGATTCCCAGGCCTTTGGTCCCACAGAATTTATGCCGGGGCCTGAAGGATTCATGATTCTGACTAAGCCCTTTCATCAGAATTGCTTAAGTCACTCATACAGACCAGCCCTACTTGCAGGAGCCCACCGTCTGGCAGGGAAGGCAGATTCACACACAGCTAAGTAACCTGTGGGGGGTTAGTCTGAGATCAGTGGGAAATGCCATGGGGCAACCTGCCCTCTGCATCTGTACAGATGTGACTTTCTTGGGCATGAGACAGAAACTGACTACTACCCCGCCCAGAAGCCCTGACTCTATAATCTTAGCACTGGTAGTTTTCCTTTTTAAAAGCAACAGAATGGCCATTCTCCTCATGGTGGTCCTGGAGGAGGCCAGGCTCTTACTCTAGCAAGCTACCATTAGGCCATGTTTCTGTCTTCTCTCGGGAAATTGCTGTCTGAATCTCTACTACGATGGCAGGGATTCATCTGTCAACTGAGTCTAGTGAACAAGGTAGGCAAGGAACCAAACAGCACTCTGAAGCAGTGAGAACCATTTTCTCGAGAGGCTCATACACTGCTCTGGAGGGGGGTCCCAGAGGTGACCATTTCCAGAGCACATTAGCAGTGCACGGAGGTGTGTGTCTTTAGAAGAGGAGCTAGGAAGAGTCCTCAGAGGTCCATAATGGCCCACCAAGTCCCTCCAGCTGTGGATGAATGTTGTGTGTCCATTGCTAGGGAGCTCAGTTCCTCATTCCTGGCCTTGGAGGCTACGATGATTCAGGAAATTCAAGAGCAGATCCCCAGAAGGCTCGTTGGGGGCATGAGTGAGCTCAGTGAACAGGGGGTTTCCTCTTTGCCCCAGAAATTGCCCAGGGTGTGGGCTGTCTCTGCTGCCCCTCTCCTGAGTGTTCGCTGTGTCCTCCACGCTATGCATGATGGGGGCTGACCCTCCCTCCTGCCATGTTTCCCTTGCCCCCAGCTCATCAGGGCACCATAGAAAAACTGGGGCCTCGAAGACTCGGGTCCAAATCCTGGCACCATCACTTACAAGATGTCTGACATTGAACAAGGGACTTTACCTCTCTGAGCCTCAGCTCCTTCACCAAAGAATGAGGATAAACCTACATAGGAGATCATTGGTGTAAATCCCTTGGCACATAGGCAGTTCATAAATGATCATTCTCTTCCTGCCTTAGTCCCTGGCTTCCCTGCAACCCCATGAGAGAAGCAGCCAGGAATGCAGGCTCGGTGGGTCTAATTCCTACAGGAAAAATAAGGAGTCTATTTGCCTTTCATGTCCCTCCCCAAATCCTCTAGAACCCTGATGGTGAGTATAAAGCAGTTAAGCCATTCTCTCCGTCCTCTGCCTCCCAGTCCTGCAGTTTCCAGCTAGCCCTCAGTAAAGGGGCCCAGTTCAGAGGACACTGTGGGTCTAGACTTTCCAGGGTGAAACAGTTCAGAGTTTAAGCATGCGAGTAAAATCTGATGTCCCTGGCTCTGAGCCTCCAGGTCTGAGTGTGACTCCCACCACCTCTAGCTTAGGACAGGACCTCTACAGATGAGGCTTGCCAGCCCTCCCAGATTTTCTCTGGAATCTCCCAGGATGCATCTGTGAATCTGAACATGAGATGATGCAGAAGGCATGTGCCAGATACTGGAAAATCAACACAATGTCCTTTATTTATATAGCACTTATTTATTTTTATTTTATATTTTTATTTATATAAAATTTTTACAAAGTTCTTTCATAGATGCTATTTCATTGGCACTGGGTGGCAAGCTTGTGGGGGAGGTATTTTTACCATTTTGGAGATGAGGCAAATCAGGCCCAGAGAGGTTAAGGAACTTAGCCAAGGCCACACAGTTAGTTAGTGAACTAATAAGCCAGTCTTTCTGGCTGGTAAAGAGAATGTGTCTCCCACTCTGCAGTAGGTAACAGTGGCCTTCCTGTCCTAAACCTGAGGTCTGATGTCCAGTATGGTGAGACAGAGCTGGGGGAGGGGCTCACCATGGGATGGCTGTGTTATCTGAGGACTGGATGCCCTGTGTGCCGTGCTGTCGACACTATTTGTAATCCTTGTCATATAAACAATGCCACATCTACTCAGAAAGGAAAAGATAAGAAGAAAGCCAAGTATGACAGCCTGCAGGACTTGAGAAAGAATAAGAAAGAACTGGAGTTTGAGCAAAAGCTTTACAAAGAGAAAGAGGAAATGCTGGAGAAGGAAAAGCAGCTAAAGATCAACCGGCTGGCCCAGGAGGTACGTGTCCTGCCTGCAGGCCAGGCAAGCATCCCTAGGACACAATGTGGTCGTTTCCCATGTGCTCCCAGAGGACCAGCTGGAGTTGTTCTCCCCAAATGGCATACCAGGGTGGAGTGAGCCCTTCCCTGCTCCCCAGCCTGGAGAGAGAGATCGTGCCACCTGCTCAGGGCCATCTGAGGTTAGCTCCTGGCTTAGGAATTGAAATCAGCCTCCTTGCTCGGGAGGTGTGAGTCTGAGGCTAGCCTTTCTGACCAGATGGTAGGTCTCAGGTTAGCCCTTGATACACCTGGCTTAGAGGCTTGAGTCTGTCCTCTTCACTTTACCCCACCAGAGTCTAAGGCTAGGCCTCTCCATCTTAGGTATGGCTCTGAGGCTACTCAGAGTATGGTCTGAGGCTAACCCTTCTGCCTTGCTTATAGCTTTGAAGTTATGCTTCCACTGACCTGTCTACAAATCGGAATCATTCTGGCCTCCCTTCCCAGGTTATTGTAAGACCAGACCCCCCCACCCAACTTAGCTTGGCTCTGAGAATATGGGTCTGAGACTAACCCCTTTGTGCGGGTGGTAGGTCTGAGGCTATCTCCCAATTAATCAGGCTATGAGTCTAAGGCTGCTCCCATCAACATAGGGTGTGTCTGAGGCTCGACCTCATCATCCTGGGAATATATCTGAGGCTGTTCCCCTGAAGACATGTCCAAAGCAACCTTCCACCATGAATAATTCCTATGCTAGGTGAGATGGGTAACCTTAACTCCCCGGCTGTAGGAGGTATCATTGTTTCTGCTTCTCTTTAACGCATCCATGAATCAGAATGCCAATTTGATTAGATTATAAAACCAGAGAAGTCCTGGAAAATGTGAAATTCATTAGGTCTGACATTATGAACAAATTAGCTACAAAATTAAAAATAAGATTGTGCTTCTGAGGGCAAGGCAGAATGGAGCAGGAAAAAAAAGAGTCAAGTTAAACTCTTGGAATGTGCTGGGGGAGGCTAAAAAACACCATTCTGGGAAAATCATAAGAGCCTCAGGGTTCGTGGGGATCTGGGATCCAGCTAATCCCTCACAATACATAAGCCCCTTTTCTGATTTTGCCTACAAGTTCTGCTTAGTGAACTTGACACCCCGCCACTTTCTTCTCCCTTGCCACCTCCTTGAGGGCCAGTTGGAACAAGCCCAGGTCTCTTTCTAGATAGCTGATGCACCTCACAGTACTCTGGAGTTTTTAAAGGAGTGCTTTCATGCTATTTCTGTCCACATGTTATTCAAATGTGCCCTTTGTCCTCTCCTTTCTGCGCCGATCCTGGGTCCCAGGTGTCTGAGACAGAGCGGGAAGACCTTGAAGAATCGGAAAAGATTCAATATTGGGTGGAGAGGCTCTGTCAAACGCGCCTCGAGCAGATTTCCTCTGCTGATAATGAGATTTCAGAGGTAACAGAGCCCTTCTTTCCACACAGACCCTCCTGCTGCCTTCAGAATGATTCACTGGGGGACAGTGGGAGGTGAGATGGCAACTAGCAAATGCCACTAGCCTCACAGGTGCCCATCCATTGTCCAGGCCCACCCCTACCAGCCCACTCCCCTCTTGGGGAGGAGAGATATGTCTGTATTTCTGGGTATACTCCCAGAGTGACACTAAGTCCCAGCTCATCTGAGATAGTCCCAGTTAGGCCTGTTGTCCTGGCATCATCACTAAGAGTCCCCCTTACACTCTCAAGGGCAGTCCAGTTTAGAGGATGAACTATGTGAACACCTTACCACCCACAGATGGCATAACTTGGGGCTCTCCTGCATTTGGGTACTCTACCAGCAGCCTAGTATGGGCTCAGCTGGGCATCCAGGTGGCAGAGGACTGGCACCCCATTGTTCTGGTTTAAGGGTAGTGGGTCTCCAGTAGCAAGAGAAACAGAGTAGAAGAGCATAGTGCTCGATGTATTGCAAAGTGGAGCGCTAATCAGAGTCACAATTACAGAACTTCCTTGCAATCCCCCCAGATGACCACAGGGCCCCCACCTCCTCTGCCTTCTGTGTCTCCCCTGGCCCCACCCTTGAGACGCTTCGCAGGCGGACTGCACCTGCACACCACTGACCTGGACGACATCCCTTTGGACATGTTCTACTATCCCCCCAAGACTTCCTCTGCCTTGCCTGTGATGCCCCACCCTCTACCCTCCAACCCACCCCACAAGGTCCCAGCGCCCCCTGTCCTTCCCTCATCTGGCCATGTGAGTGCCTCGTCTTCCCCATGGGTGCAGCGCACTCCACCCCCCATTCCCATCCCTCCCCCTCCATCCATTCCCACCCAAGACCTCACTCCCACCCGCCCACTGCCCTCGGCACTGGAAGAAGCACTGGGCAACCACCCCTTCCGCACTGGGGACACAGGCAATCCAGTGGAGGACTGGGAGGCAAAGAACCACAGTGGGAAGCCCACCAACTCCCCTGTCCCTGAACGGAGCTTCCCACCCACCCCAAAGGTACTCTCCCTGTTCTGCATGCTATGTTTGGAAGTAGGAAGAGTGGGGAGAACTGCTGTTTCCCATGTCCTCCACTGCTCCTGGGAGTGGAGACAGAAAGAAACATCATCTCACCCCATTTTGCAGGAATGTCCCCTCTGTGTGCATGTGTGGACATCCTGCATGTATATGGTTCCCACTGATTTTGAAGTGCTGTATTGTATGATGAATGGCCTGGGACCTTTGGGGTAAGCAACAGTGTGTCCATTTGATATTCATTGCTCTCTCTTGGCTCTTCTTTGCTAGTGTAGGCTGGTAACTTTCAATGCAGGACTTGGAAGGCTATGTTAATGAATAGCCAGCACTCTGTCACATCCAGTCATTTCCTGATAGTATCCCAGAAAGCCTTGAATATGGGAAATGACTCCTGATCTAGCAGGAGAAAAGGGAGGGGAGGAGGAAGCAGGGCACGGGTAACGCTGTACCATCAAATGCAGTGTTAGGACACTCCAGTGCCGTTTTCTACGGTACTGGCCAACTGCACTGCTTGAAGTGTAACACCCAGAAATTTCTGGCCAATTTCCCGCTATAGAAAAAAATGAAGAGAGAGTTCCTAGAAATAATTTACTATTAAAAGAATAGGAATGTTTTTCTTGGATGTTAGGAAGATGAACAATGTCTTTCTGAAAAAGACATATTTCTTATTAATTATTCATAATCCAAAGACTATTTTGAAACATGCAATCTCTGAGGAAGACACGGAGCTTGGATCCCATGAAGGGAAAAGCAAAATATTCCGCTCCCGTAGCCATGAGGCCAGGCTTAAGTCAGTGCAAAAGCATCTCATGTCAGCTGACGGTAGCAGGGTTGCTGAGGGAGGGCATAGTCAATAGCACCTGACCAGTGGTTTTTATTAACCGTCCCTGCATGGATTTGAGTTCCTGCATGGAGAATGGGACAAGTATCTCAGAGCACTCAGGAGAGCTTACAAGGAAGGTGGGAGTGAAGAAAGTGCCAGATGCCAGCAAGGCTGCAGCTTCCAGCGGGAGACTCTCAGAGGGACCCTTTCCGGACCTCTGGTTGGGATTGTGAGCCCTGCAGCTTCGATAGGAAGAAATCTGCCTGTTCTGGGGACATCTTCCCCCAGAGCCCAGCCAGGAGCTGGTTTCTAGGGCTGAGTTAGCCTTGCACATTTTTCTCTGTAAGTGGCCTCCATCAAGATGAGCAGGCTTTTCCTCAACAAATTTGATTCCACATTGATTAAGTACCTGCCTGGGGCCTCTCTCTGTGAGGGGAAAAGGGGAGCAGTGCTGAAGAGGATATGGAGGAGATTGACATGCCTGTGCTTTCCAGGACTTTGCCATCTGAAGGATGAGCTGCTGCCCAGGCAAGCTTCTGCTATAAAATATGCATAAGCCATGTGCTATGGGAGGGATTCATTCTAACTGAAGGTTGAAGACACCTCTGTGGAGTAGAGGGCTTACGAGCTGAGCCTTGAGGGTTGGCAACACGTGGAGGATGGGAGCAAGGGCATTGTAAGTGCAGGGAACATAAATATGGCAAGTTGGAGTAGCAGGGAGTCGGACTGCCTGGGTTTGAATCCTGGCTCTGCCACTTACTAGCTAGATGACTTTGAACACATGCTACTTCATCTATCTGAGCCTGGGCATCCCTGTCCAAAAATAGGAATGTTAACGGCAGCTACCTATTCGAATCAAATAAGTTAATATATGAACACATTCTAAGTTAAGAATGGCAAGAGAGGCAGGCACATCGTGCATGTTCAGTAGACATTAACTATGGTTATTGATAGTCCAGAGTACAAGAAAATTTGGGTGAAGCTACAAACCTGGGATCTTAGCAATCTCAGTTAGTCTCAGCAAAACTTTGAGTCAGGGTCAAGATTCAAGACGGAGTTCAGATTTCTCAGATTCTTCAAGGCATCACGAAGTTCCCACTGTTAGTTCCTGATCAGAGCCCAGGGAAGGCAAAAAGCCCCCAACATAAGGAGCCTCTGAAGAACTGGACCGTAAATGTCGTAAGCGACATCAAAGCCAGGGTTGTCCCAGCCTCAAAGGCCAGGGGGTTGTTGTTTGGTTGGCTTCATCTGGCCCACCTCTCACCCTTGTACCACCCACCCTCTTCCTCCCTGCATGCCCCTGGCAAAGTGTCATCAGTGCTGCAGCAGGAAGTGTGAGTGACCACACGCCCACACAGTCGGCCCAGCCACCAGCAGGCCCCAAGTCATGGAAACAAACGCCTGTGTTGGCTTGACACTTGTGCCTGCCACATCAGCACCTGCCATAGGGGGGTTTTCAGGGCCAGATCTGTCCACAGGCACTGTCCCATGTGCTCACCATACTATTTAATCATTCATTTATTCATTCAACACATGCTTATTGAGCACCTACTATATGCCAAGGCACTATGCAGGGCACTGGGAGCCCCTGCTAGATAGACAGCTGCAGTCTCCCTTCTCAAGACAGTCTGGTGGGAAACAAAGAAAAGTAGGCACCCGCCACACCATCAGGGTGGAGATGGAGGAAGCACAGGTGCTATAATAAGGAAGAGGGGTGGAGGAGAGGAAAGCTCAAGGGAGGCTTCCAGAAGGCAGTGATGCCCAACCTAAGACCTGGGAGGTAAAGCGGAAGAAGGAAAGAGCACATGTAAAGGCCTCAAGGCAAGAAAGCCTGGCATTTTTTTGAGGTTAAAGCTAGGCAGTGTGAGGAGGGTGGTGAGGAGTGAGAGATGAGGCTGAAAAGGAAGATAGAGAAGCTCATGAAAGGCCTTGGGGGTCAGGCCAATGAGCTCAGTAGTGGATGGGGACTCTTGGGAGGGCTTGGGGCAGGGTTGTGAACTGATTTGATACATATTGCCCAAGGAGATCAAGTGGGTTAGAGCCAAGCAGACAGGTTGCATCAGCTCCCCTGGATGCTACTCTTACTGGTCCTTACTCCATGGCCTCTAGAGACTATGTGCCTACCCACTAGGAACAGCAGATGCTTCACACTGTGGTCCAGGGACTGGAGCTGTGGCCAAAGAGACAGCCCTTAAAGACAAGGGACACTGGATAGCACCCATGACCACTGAGAGAGGGGTCTGAAAGTGTGTCTCCTGGGTGACACTGGCTGCAGGCAACCCCAAGCCAGGCTCTAGCTCAAGCATCTGATTTCTTAGAGCCACTCAGTAGTTTCTGTGGTCTCAGCCCACACTGTGGCCAATGGACTTCTCATCTCTCTGCGAAGATCACAGCCCCAGGACCTCCAGCAGGTTGAATGAACCAGGCTGGCTTCGCATGTGCATGGGTGTAGATTTGCATGTGTGTAGAAGTAGCATGGCTGGCCTTGGCCACCCCACCATGACCTCACCTGGGTCCCTGTTAAACTAACTCCTATAGACATTTTGCCCAAGCCCACAGCCTCCACGAGGCCCTGGCGTGTCCACCATCTCCAAACCTGTCATGGTCCACCAGGAGCCCAATTTCATCTACAGGCCAGCTGTGAAATCTGAAGTTCTGGTAAGCCCCTTGGGTCCCCTCCAGGTTGTCTCTAGAGGAGCAGACCAGGGCTACCTCCCCTGGGCTCTGCTGTCTCTGGAGTGGAGGGCAAGTGAGGTGGGACAAAAATGCAGATCACAGATGCCATCTCTTAACCTTCTTATTGGCCAAGAGATGAGGCCACATGGGTGTAAGTGGATGTTGGCATGACCAATGGAATTTCTGTTTCCCACTTGATGGAACAGCCTGGAGCTCTGTCTAAAAGTAATAATATTCACTAAGACCTGTGAAGAGCCTACTATGTGCCAGGCTCTGCATGGCCTCAATTAATTCTCACAGCAGAACTGTGGGATGGTTCCTGTGGTCATCCTGTTTAACACTCGAGGAAAGGGAGATTTAGAGAGGTTACCAGAGGGGGACCAGGTGCCCCAGGCAGAGCCTGGACTTAATACTTACCCTCATGCCTTTCATGCTCCAAAGCCCACACTCTTACCCTCATTGCCATCTTGCCAAAACCTACAGAGATTCCAGGTGCCCTGGCCCCTGCCCTAAGGCCTGTTGTGGCCTGGCAAGAAACACCCTTGGATGGAGAACTGGCCAGAGCAGGTTCACTCCCCTTCTCCAACTTACTTCTTACCTCTCACTGGGACTGGGAGTCTGAGGTGTGGTCCTGGGGAAGTGGGAAATGTCCACCAGCCTCAGTTACTGACAGCTAAGGGAGCTGGGATTCGTGTGCACCTCCCAGAGGTGCCGACCACTGGCTGGCCTCCCATGCACAGTGAGAAGATAGTCATGTCAAAATTTTAACTTCCCTTTCAAGGAAACTCTATCCAAATGTCAAGGCAGGACAGCTGAGATATTTATTTTGGGCCTTAGCTGTCCCATCAGCTCCCCAGAGAGCTAAGTTTTTGCTCCTGGGACAGCCTGCGGATGCATCCATATCATGGTCTCTGGCTAATGTCAAGGGGTGGTGTCTGCTTGACGACAACTGGGTAGCATCTTTGGGCATTGAGCAGGCCCTTAACATAAGCCAGACTGTCTGCTCGGGGAGAACATTGGCAGGGCAGCCCCAGGCTGGCAGGCCCGAGGCCTGGCACCAGGGGGCAGACAAGACCTATTGGTAACATCCAGTGTGGAACTTTTTTTTTTTTCCTCTGGCAGCCACAGGAGATGTTGAAGAGGATGGTGGTTTATCAGACAGCATTCAGACAAGTAAACTGATACTCACTGTGTGTCTGGGGGTCTCCCCACCACCCCGCATCCCTCCCACTCTGTGCCACTTCTTTGTCTCTGGGAGTACCTGGTCAGGTCCACAGTGGCCCCATCTGCCACCAAGCGTCAGGCCAGAGCTGTGTCCTCCATTTCCTGTGCAGGGGTTGGGGAGGATTTCATATCAGATGGGGACCCAGGGCTTGTTAGACCCCATGCATGAGCTGAGAAAAAGCAGCAGGATCCCTGGGCACTCACCTCTTCTGCTGCTGTTTGTCCAGAGAGGAGCAGGGCAGGAGGAACCCTCAGAGGCCCACAGAGGCTAAGATGGGCCCTCGCTCCAGCCCTAGGAGAGAGGGAAGGGGCTGCTTAGGTGTCTCCCTGTACCTTCCCCTCTTCTCCTCCGGGCAGATCACAGCTTCACCAACCCTGCCTGACACTGAACCAGCGTCAGGGAAGAGATGGTAGCTGAGGTCCTCCCTGTGCCTAGGGTACTCCTATGCACAGGGGCATGGAAGTCCTTGCTGGTCCTCTGAGCGGCATTAGGCAGGCAGCCACCTACCCACCTGCCTCCCGGGGTACCTCCACAGAGCCAACCATTGGACTGGCTGTTTCATCACCAATGAAAGAAACCCCAGGACAGAGGGAGATCTTGCAGCCAGCCCAGGCTTCTCCAGCCTCCTCACTGATAACCCACCATCAGAACACAGGCTGATTTGTGTCAGAACACAGGCTGATTTGACTACTGTGCAGTGAGACACAGGTGTCAGCAAAAGAGGCTGCTCCCAGCCCAGGGATTTGTCGATTTAATCTTTCCAGCAACCCTGGGTGGTAAGTGCTATTCTCATACCCATTTTCTCTATGAGAAACTGAAGAAGAGAGATTTGAAAATGTGCCCACAATGGCACAGCTAATGTCAATCCCTGGATTTGAATCCAGGAGGTTGGTCTCTGTAGCCTGTGCTCTTAAACACTGCGCCATCCTGCCTTAAAGCACTGTCGTCACAAAAGAGGCCTTCCAGGACCTGGCGGTTTAGGGCACAAACAGCCCTCCCAGGGAGAGAGGCAGGGAAGTGCAGAGTCTAGGCTCCAGAGTTGGAGTCAAACCCTTGCTCCCCTGCCCACTGACTGGGTGACCTTGGGCATGAATATCACCTCTCTGGGCCTCAGTTTCTTCCTCTGTTGAATGCGGGGCTGGGCTGCCTCTTTAAGGGCTGACCAGCTGCTGTGACTTATGAGTCTCTGATCTAAATTCACACAAAACACAAGTACCTGCCATCTGGCTCATCCCTGAGAGCTTGTTCTCAGGATCATGGAGCAAGGAGGCCAGAGCCAGCAGTGCTCAGCCTTCCAGGAGAAACAGCCAGAGCAAGTAGGGCCCTCAAAGTCACAGAGCATCGACTCCACACCCTGCCCAATGATCCCTCTTGCCCGTGCATTCGCTGTGCCCCCTCCTCTGTCTGCTGCCCACACACTGACCTGGATGTAGCCTCCAAGCTGAGCTAAGCTCATGGCCTCTTGGGGTTGAGCCTGGGTGATTAAGGCAAGTGAGGAGGGATGCCAGGCAGATGCTTAGGGATCTGTCTGCTGATATTTGGTGCTCGTCTTGTGCCTGGAACTTAGTTGGTGCATTCTGAGGATGGAGGAGTCTGTGGCCTCCCCGCCACGCAGACCATGGGCCCCAGGGGACACTTGGTGTGGTCTAGGGACCTGCATGCTGCGGGTGCCTCCACTCAGACAGCGAGGCCTGCCATGGGGCTCTCCTCCGCTCCCACCTTCCATGGGAACCAGCTGTGGCTCTGCTTCCCTTGTGCTTAGCATCCTGGCCCCTCAGCCTGGGGGTGCCCCTGGCTCCCATTCACTGCGTATGACTCCCAAGGAAGGCCACCTAGTTCAGGCACTACCTCACTATGTGTTCAGGTGCCACCTCACTGTCTTGTTTCTACAGCCTGGAGCCATTGTCCCCACAGCATTCCCCCATCAAGCCAGGTCCCCTGAGCTGTGTGTCCTCCCTTCTCCCCTAGCTAAAGGGCCAACCTGCGCTCCCCAGAATCTGGGGAGGCCTCTTGCCTTCTAGGTGAGCATTACATGAGAACACTGCCAAGCCCCAGGCAAGCGCAGCTTCTTGACACCACCTGCTTTCCTCTTGGTGTCCATGGCCTCCCTCCACCATCTTATGGCTGATTTCCAGGAACAGCCTTCTCTTGAGCTGCATGGTCCCCTCCTGTGGGGTCAGAGCACTGGGTGGAGACATCCTGGGCTTCATCCCCCAGGATCTGGGCCTGCTCCAGTGGAGACTTGGAAGAGATGAGGTGGGGCCTAAAGGACTTGAGGCTGGGCTGAGACTTTCAGCAAGGCAGACGCTGCCTCTCCAGACCATCTAGAGGTCACTGGTGCCCCTGCAGCCCCTGACGCTTGTGCTGCTGAAGCAGGGCAGGGTCAAGATCCTCTAAAGTCTTCCTCAGCCTCCTGCTTGTCCCTGCACAGGAGTGCCCTGGCTGCTGGGGCTGCCAGCCTCCTGTCTGCATCCCCCACCCTGGCCCCGCCTTCCCCGGCCCTGCCCCTCACTTCTGACCCTTGGATTCTGACCATTCACCCTCCTCCTCCTTGGCCCTGACCCTCAAGGGCCTCTGCTCTGTTGCCCTAAGGCCCTCCCTTTGCTTCCAGGATTTCCGGAAATATGAGGAAGGCTTCGACCCCTACTCCATGGTAAGAGATGACTCTTCTCTCCTAGGGGAGAAACCCCAGGAACAGGGCAGGGTGGGGTTAGAGTGTTTGATAGTGGTGCATTCCAGGCCCTGGGGTCCTGGGATGAGGTGGGGCACAGAGGAGCCCAGTGATGCCCCAGCTGCTCTTCCCACTAAGGTTCCTTCCAAAGGGCATTCCAGTGTGAACTGTATGGTGCACACACACGTGTGTGTGTCCACTGTCCCCATGGGGCCTGGAACCCCCAGTTGAAGACCAGTATGGGTGGGGCTGGGCACGGTCCCCTTGCCCATGTGCTCTGTGGGGCCCAGTGTCCCATAGGTGCCTGGATTCCTCTTCCAGCCCTACCCCCGGCACCATCCTTCAGGCCAGCTCAAAGCTTCCCACTGTCTTTTTCCCTGTAGTTCACCCCAGAGCAGATCATGGGGAAGGACGTCCGGCTCCTACGCATTAAGAAGGTACCTGGGCATGTGGGGGCCGGTGGGCCGCCATCCCTCTCTGAGCCTGCCCCTCCTGCCTTGGTTCCCTGCTTCTACTCTCAAGGTCACTCCCGGGTGGCCTCTCAGGTCCCCACTGTCCTCCCCTCTCTTATGGAGATGCCCCTCTGTTGTAGGGCCACATACCCAGGCCCCATTTGGCCACTCCTGATGGCACTGCCGGTGGCCCCATGGCTTCTCCCGCTCTTACTGTGGCTCTGCCAAGAGACTCCTTGGTGCCCAGGGGTCCACAGGCTGCTGTCTGCTTGGCTCCCTAAGGTCTGTTTTCCTCTAACCAGGAGGGATCCTTAGACCTGGCCCTGGAAGGTGGTGTGGACTCCCCCATTGGGAAGGTGGTCGTTTCTGCTGTGTACGAGGGGGGAGCTGCGGAGCGGCACGGTGAGTGGGGACCAGCCACACCCAGGTGTGGGGATGATACTTTCCTCTTGGTGTCCGCGGCCTCCCTCCACCATCTTGTGACTGATTTCCAGGAATAGCTTTCTGTTCCTGGAACAGAGATTAGACGAGGCCCTCCAGGAAAGCAAACAGGTGACCACTTGGAGTGGGCTGACGGTGCTGGAGAGACGCCCTCCCACTCAGGTCCATTCATCCAACTGCCTGTCCAATCCCTGGGGATATGGGATGGTGCCGGGACCTGTGAGTACACAGCCAAGCCAGATGCTACCATGCCCTCAGCAGTCCCCAGCCAGGGTTGGAGACAGGCTCAGAATTGCCACATACTGAAAGTCACAGCATGGTCTGCTAAGGGCTGATGGGGAACTCAGAGCGGAGGGAAGCTGTGGGGACTCTGAGGGGCCCCTAACCCACCAAGAGGAAGTGGGAGGCCAGGAGCACTCCTCAGAAGGGTGAACTGTGAGCTGAGCGTTAGTCAATGTCAGCCTCACGAAGGAGAGAAAGGGCTTTTGAGGAAGAGGAGCAGTACGTGGAAACCCCTAAAACCTTACCTGTCCTTTCAGTGGTGGTAAGAGCCAAACATTTGGCCAGAACTAGCCGGAAGCTATTTGTGCCAGAAAATATTCATCTGGCTCACAGCCCTGTGTCTGAGCGTTTCATGGATATTAACTCACTTAATCCTCACAACAACCCTGAAAGCAGGTTCTGTTATTATTCTTATTTTACAGCTGAGGAAACTGAGGCTCAGAGAGGTTAAAGTATTTGTTCATGGACCCACAGCCAGGAGAAGGCGGAGGCAGGATTTAATTCAGGCAGTTTGGTCATTTTGCTTTACTGTCCAGCACAAGTGCCACCTCTGTCGGAGGTCTTCTGCAGCCTTGTCCCTTCCCAGAGGGCCAGAGGCCCCCATACCCTGTGTCTTTCTTCTCACTTTGTTTTGTTCTTTTTCCCTTATCTACAAAAACACCCTCTGCTGATGAGTGAAACCTTTGCAGACCCCAGGCACAGTCTCTTGCTTCAAACCATCACCCCTTCACCTGTCAGTGTCTGAAACCCCTCCATTGGTGATTTCTTCTTCTGTGTCAAGGAAGCTCCTGAGTCCTTTGTGGCCGTTTGTGGAGATGTAGGTGCCCTTGGAGGAGGAGCCCCAGGCCTCTTACCTTCCCAGGCCAGAGTGGGGGATCCTATGAGCAGATCCCTTCCAGGCAGTCCTAGGCTGGAGCCAGGCTGTACCACAAGCTGTAGGAGGTAGAATGGAGGTGGTAAGAGGTAAGGGGCAGGAAACAGGGGAAAAGGCCCTTGGGGGCTGGCAACCAGGCCTCTGTGGGTTACTAAGGTGAAGTATGGGCATTGGGAGCCCTGGGTACAAGTCCAACTCAGCACCTATGCCCTCAGTGACTTCACACTCTAAGCTTTCATTTCAGTCATAGAAGGGGGTCCTGCCCAGCTGGGCAGCTGCCCCAACCCATCAGTGCTCACCCAGGCCCCCCCTTCTTCTTCTGTCTTCATCTCTTTGTCACCTGGTGACATTTCTGTGATACCTGCCTGCTGTGTCTAGCAGAGAGAGGAGACCAGGATAGATGGGTGACTCTCCTGGGTCCTTCCCACTTACAAAGCCCCAACCCAACCACTGCCTTATTACCCCTGAGACTCTGTCTTGGATTTGTACAAAATGAAAAGGTGAAAGTCACCCATCCCCACTTGCCCTGCACAGAGGCAACTGCTTTCTATGGTTTGGTCTTGCACCGCTTTGAACATAACCAGTCACTGATGACTTTCCTAGGAGCATGTGTTTTAAGCCTCCATGGCCGCCATTGTCAGTATCATACACCACATTCCTGTGGGCCTTCATGCCCACAAGTCTCCTGGATGATCTATTTCAATGTGACCTGGAGAATGTTCTGTGGACATCAGGACCGGGAGAAATTCCTCCAAAAAGGGCTCTGATGTCGAAGAGGTGTGGAAAACGACACACAATCTGTCTACCTGTTGGAAAGCCGCAGTGCATGTTAGCACATTAAAGACTGACAAATCCTGCAGTGGGTAGCTCTGTTCAGCTTATAACTCAGCTTTCCCCAAAAGTATTAGATCCCAGGCATCTCTTCCAGGAGCACCTTATTACAGCATTCATTCATTCAGCAAGTATCTACTGAGGTCCTATTTTGTGTCGGGCATTATGTTAAGTGCTGGGGATACTATGGTGAACCAGAAAGACAATCCCTGCCCACATGGAGCTGACAGCATGGTGGGAGAGACCATCAGTAAACAAGTAAACAAACAGATTAATGATTACAAATTGTGGAAAATGCCAAATAAGAAAAGACTGGGATGCTATGAGAGAACAGGCAAGATCTACATTTGACTGAGTGGGGGTCAGAGAAGCCCCTTCTGACATTTCCTCTCAGACCTAGAAGAAGAGAAAGCAAGGTGGGGAACAGCGACATGAAGTCTCTGCCGCAGGAGACAGCAGTGGCAGCTCAGGGACCTGAAGAGGCCAGCGTGACTGGGCAACGGGGAGGGCCGGCTGGCAGAATTGACTCAGGCCTCTTACTGTGCTGGAAATGCAGGTCTGTCTCCCTCTGTGGTAACAGAGGCTCATCATCAATGATGTCCCGGTTCTCCAGAGCTTGGGTAAGGGGATGTAGATGGGATAGGGATGAAATGCACTTTGACTAGCCACTAAGCAGGTAGCTAGTTTCCCCTCATGCTTTCTGAGTCCACATGACCTTTCAGAACCCAGGTTCAGGTCTCTTCTGCGGTCCGGCAATGACCCCTCTTTGCCTAGCCCTGGGCCAGGCATGCGTCACATACAGCCCTGTTGGCCAATCAGCCTCATCTGCCTGCAGGTGGCATTGTGAAAGGGGACGAGATCATGGCAGTCAACGGCAAGACTGTGACAGACTACACCCTGGCGGAGGCTGAGGCTGCCCTGCAGAAGGCCTGGAATCAGGGTGGGGTAAGAATAAGCCCCCTCCGTCCTTTCCTCCCTCACCTGCCTGCCTCAAACCCTGGGCTCTGCAGCCAGGCCTCACAATCAGGTGCCGCATCCCAGGGCAGGCATCTGGGGTCCAGGCAACACTTTGGTGACACCCACATACCCCATCCAGCCAGTGGTTTAAATCTGACAAGATGGGATTCAGAAAAATAAATGTCAATTCCTGACCTTGGAACCAAAAAGCCAGTGGCTCAAACAGACTCCAGAAGCCAGGGCATGACAGGTCACCCAAGAAAAACACTTAAGGTATTTTCTAAGTGCACACTGAACAAGAATCAAGAGAATTCTGGGGGCTACCAGAAAGCATTAACAAAAGCAGAGAACCCAGGATGAAGGAGGGGCTGGTGGGAATCTGCTCTGCGATCATTAGACACCCACCTGGGTCAGAGCCACTGCATAAGGTTGCCCAGGCTGTGCACTGCACAGCCTGCACAGCCTGAGGGGGTGCCCTTTTACAGACTGTAGTGTGAATGGTGCCTGCTCACGTTGTGCAATGCAAAACCTGTGCAACTGTATGCAGGCAGCCGAGCCTGAGGTATTAAGTTCAGTGCTGAGGAAGCTAACCAGATGGTCCTGGGACCCACAGGAAGGGATGTGGAGAAGAGAAGACTCACGGGTAACATGATGACTATCTTTGATTATCTGAAGGTCTGCATTAGGGCAGAGGGAGCATAAGTGTTCTCTCTGATTCTTGAGGGAAGACCTGGATTGGATGGAGGGAAGTCCTGAGGGGGAGAGAGAGAGATTTCAGCTCAATATTAGGAACTAGCTCATGGTAGAGGGGCCCAGTAATATTTCTGATACTTTTCAGGGGATACATCCAAGCCAAGGAGGGAATGAGGGGCAAGGATGGCAGTAAAAGGGATTCAGGTGTTAGAATCAAAAAGCTGGGCCAGAAGTCCCCCACTTGGTTGTGCATCAGAAAGTGCATCGGAATTACCTAGAGAGGTTGTTAAAAGTACTATTTCCCAGGACTCACCCCTGACTTCTAGGGGCCAAGTCTGTAAGTCTACACTTTTAAGAAGTTCCCCCAAGTGATTCTGAGGTTGCTGCCTGTCCCCGGTCCATAGATCGACATTTGGGAGCTGAGTGTCATTCGAGCACCTTGCAGCCCTGGCCTCTATAGTCCCGAAGCCTCAGAGACTAGAAACATCCTCAGACCATGGCAGTCCACAGTGGGGCCCACGTGTGCCCATGGGAAGAAGGTGCAGGCTGGCTGATCCTGGACCATGGGGCCCAGAAATGGGGACGGAGTGCCAGAGCAGACACACCATCCAACTGAGTGTGCCCCAGAGTCACACAGCTTCTCCCCACAGGACTGGATCGACCTTGTGGTTGCCGTCTGCCCCCCAAAGGAGTATGATGATGAGCTGTAAGTATGTGCAGCCACCTAGCCTGAAACCTCCTCTTCCTTTTCCAGAATCTCAGCCACCTTTCTCCAGCCCACCCCTAGCCTTCTCCCAGCCTGAAGGAATGGCCCAAGCACACAGCTTCTCATAGCCAGAGCTCCTAGAAAACTCCTGGACTAGAGCTTAGTCATTGTCCTTAAGCAGTGTCTGAGCTGCCTCCCGGGCAGTCTTGTCCAAATTCTTCTCTACTCTGGGGAACTGAGGCATGAGGTCTTAGACCGAATAAGTAGTGATGTTGGGACAAAGACTCAGGATTGTTATTCCCCACTCAGAACTCTATCCCCTACCCCATTAGTAGATGGTTAGAAGGTGTCTGTGTTCATCCTTCACTCTCTGGAAGGTCTTCCTGATGTCTAACTGCATTCACTCATACTGTGCCTCTAGGCAGCCAGGGCCACAGGCTTTTGTCCCCACCTTGTGGGATCTCCAGGGAGCTTTCGCCTAGTCTGTCTCTCTGTGATTCCCTGTGTGTCTGTCTCTGTCCTGTGGATCTCTCTGTCTTCTCTTCTCCTCCCTCTCTGTCCTTCTGTCTTTTGCCCTCTCCTTCCTTCCTGTCAACCTCTTATCGGCCCCCCTCTTTCCCCTTCATCCCAGTCCCCTTTCTCTCTTACTGTCTCCTATTCTTTCTTCCTGTTTCTCTCCATCCCTGTCTCTGAGTCCCTGCTCCTCTGTCCTTGTCGTTCTGCATCCATTCTTATCTGTCTGCCTTTCTCTGTTTCTCTGCCTCTGTGTGGTGTCTCAACTCCATCCTCACCTCATCCCATCACCTCCCCAGCCCTCACCCACCCACCACTCACCCACTCACTGACCATGCCCTGCTTCGCTGTCATGGCTGGGCCTGCTTGCTCCCCGTGGCCAGCCGAGTCTGAGCTCTACACGTGTCTTGGAGAAACCAGGGTCCGGCAGCTCCTAATTCTGGAACCCAAGGGCTAGGCAGAACCCGAGGCAGGAGCCCAGTGAAAGGAGAGGCCCCAGGGAGCTCTGCCTGGGAGTAACCAAGCCTGTTTTGTGTTTCTTGCTCTGCTCTGTGTGTATAGTGCTTCTCTTCCCTCCTCCGCAGCAGAAAGCCCCCAGCCAGTCCGAAAGCTCCTTGAAGACCGTGCTGCCGTGCACAGACACGGGTTCCTCCTGCAGCTGGAGCCCACGGTGAATAGGCAGGCAGGCCAGAGGGCCCTGTCTGTCCCGGCTGTGTGCAGTGGCCATCTGCTGCCCACGCTGTCAGCAGGTTCTTTGGACTGGTGTCTGGAGAGTACACAAGGCGCCATCCCTGAAGTGCTGCCCAGGGTCTGCTATTGGCCACAGTGGAATTCCTCAGACTCAAAGCCCTCCCCTCCCTCTACAGAGCCCAGTCTGTAGTACTTGCTTGGGACGCAGGTGTCCTGACTCATCACGGCCCTGGGACCTGCTTTGGGTCCCAAGCAGCACCCAAATGAGCAGGATGAAGCCCTGGGCACCATTCTCTGTGGGACACAGACAATGCCTCGAACCAGGCATGTGGGGCTGAAGGAACCCACAGGAAGCTTGGCTGGAATTGCCCCCAAGAGATGTCCTCAACAGAATGTGAAAATTCCCCTTCTTGTGAATGCCAACCGGCTGGGAGCTCCTGCTCCACCCTGGCCCCCACACTTGGCCAGAACCAGGGCTATTAAGAGGTTTTGAAGGCTGGTCCAAAGAACCCGGGTTGGTGGATTAGAGTTGCTCATGTCCTGTTGTGCCCTGTCATGGCCTGAGCCGTGCTCAGAACAAACTGTCTTCTCTGCCTTTTCCCTTACTTGGCTGTGGGCTCTATCTGTGGGATATACCGCGGAGCCCAGCTGTGGGATGTGTTTCTCACCCTGTGATAGGGATGTGCCCGTGGACAGAGCTGGCAGGTGGCTGTGAAACTGGTGTTTGGTGTGGCCTGAAGCCACAGATGGCAGCATCTGGGGCAGACCCAAGCCTGGACTTGACTTTTCTGTTACAACTTTCCTAAAACATTAGGGCCTCATGCTCCCAAGACAGATGGCCAGCTAGACCATGGCTTCTGGGGTGGCCCGCGTGGCCCTATGTTTTCTGTCACTTGCCTTTTGCAAGGGACTGTTGTCCCTGTTCCTCCTAGTCTCCTCCTCCCCCCATCCCAGGTGTCCCTCCCGCTTTCTCCCTGGCCTCCTGTGTGCTGTGGCTGTGGCTGGTGTATAGCCACTTGGGGCCTGCACCCAGAGGGGTCTCCAAAGGTTGGCAGAGCCTCATACTGCCAGGGTGGGTGCTCCCCGTTGTGGAGCCTTGCTCTGGCTGGGCTGAATGTGCACCCACAAGGCCTGCACCCACCTGGGATGTTTCTTCTTCCCTACAGGACCTTCTTCTGAAGTCCAAAAGGGGAAACCAAGTTCACCCCTAGAAAACAGTGAGCTCCGGCCCCACCTCCTAAACACAAAGCCTTGAGACCAGCCTTGAGAGAGGCCACACTGCACACACCAGACGGCATCCCTGGGACCTGAACCTAGCACCCAGGAATCTCAAACTCTCTTTGGCCCTGAACCAGAGCCAGATAAGGAACAGCTTGGGCCACTCTAATGAAGGCCAACATGGAGGAGAGGGAGCAGCCAGCCATTTGGGAGAGGATCTCAGGGATCCAGACTCTCATTCCTTTCCTCTGGCCCAGTGAATTCGGTCTCTCCCAGCCCTGGGGGACTCCTTCCTTGAACCCTAATAAGACCCCACTGGAGTCTCTCTCTCTCCATCCCTCTCCTCTGGCCTCTGCTCTAATTGCTGATAGGATTGTCACTGCATACCTTACTCTGAGCTCATTAATAAAATAAACATTTCTTTTCCAGCTTATAGGAGTGAGTATGGATTTGGGCAGCAGATTCAAGGCTGCAAATCAAAAAACCATAAAGTTTGTGGCCCCTATTCAAGGGTGATAGACAGATCCCAGTGCTGTGATCTGGGTCTGACATGAAGGATGTGATCAGATGGCCAGGGCTGGCTCGGAGCAGAGGGTTGAGAAAGCAGGAGATGGGCTGGACTGGGCTTCAGTGTCTTCTCAGCAGAGATGGTAGGGGATGAAGTCTGTGTGGCAGGGATTTTGCTCAATTCCAGAAAGCAGAGCTGAAGGCAGGAGCCCCGAAGGGTCACCTCAAGATATGGGGCGCCCCAGCTTCTTTCAAGAACATCACGGCCACCAATGCTTCTCCTGAGGTCACCACGACAACATGTGAGGGAGGGAGATGGCGGGGTCCACTCCCTCCGTGAAAGTGCATCCCACAGAAGCTCGTAGGAGATGCAAGGGCTTGAGGCAGGAAGGCTTCGAGGGCCCAGCAGGCGGAACATCAAAATTCTTCTGGTGACAGGAACCAGGGCTGCTAACTCTGAGGAAGGGAGTGGGGCTGTGTCAGCAAGTCTCGCCTGACCCCATCTCTGTTTCCCCATTCCACATTCCTGTAGTAGAATCTGATCAGGCCAAATCACCTGAGTGGGCGACCCTTGAGTTAGGGACCAGTCACAGGTCCAATCAACTGTGGCCGGGGGTGGGGTCACATCCCACCCAACATGGCTGCTGAGGCAGCAAGGACTGTGGGCAGCAAGTCATGATCACCACCCCTACCAGAGGATGACTACGACGTCCCTCGTCCCCCACCAAACCCTGGGTATGGAAAGGAGGTGGACTGGGGTCCCAAGAGAAGGCAGTCTGAGGGAGAGTGCCTCTGTGTAAGGGGACCACAGGAAACCCCTTCCTGAGGTAGGACACTGCAGAGAGCCCCTCGGGGACACACCCACTGCCCATCCCCCAGGTTCAGCACTATGTTCAGCTGAATCCCCCACCTCATCCCACAGTGGATGCAAACCAAGCTGGATCCCGAGGACTTGGTGATAAAACAGACAGACTTCCAACACCTCCCAGAATCATGGCAGGGGAGAGTGGCTCAGACCAAAATGCAGTGACTACCATGTGGGACTGAAAGAAATCAGTGGGTAGGGACAGAGAGAGGGAGCAGAGAAACTGCCAGGCTTTCTGATGTGCTTGATGAAGACAAAGCCACAGTGACCTTCAAATTGCTGGCACTCAGAGACAGCAGCCACACAGACGAGTTCCCTGTGTTTTCCTGTCTAGCACCTAACCTGGCTCTGGAGAAAATTCTGAAACCCAGATAAGAGGAGGGAGCTCCTCTTTGCTGACACCCATGTGCCTGGCGTAGGCTAGACCCTTGTTTGCCCTTTCAAACTGCAACACCTGGGCTTCATGCCTGGCCCTCTCAGGGGCCTGGTGATAGCAGCCCACACTCAGATGGCATTGACTAAGTGCCAGGTATTATTCTAAGCACTCAGCTCATACATCTCATCAACAACTCCATAAGTCAGATACTCTTATTATCAACAACCTCATTTTATTAAGAGACAGTTGATATACAAAGAGGTGAGGTCACTTGCCCCAGGTCACACGGTGAGGAAGTAGTAGAGCTGTGATTCCAGCCAGGCACTCTGATCCCAAAGACTATGCGCTCCCATTTCCACCATATGCTCTAGAGGGCAAGACAGCTCCCATCGGAATGTCTCAAATTCCAGACTGTTGGCAGAACACTTCTCCCCACCACTGAAGAACAGTGAATGTTCTGCTGTTAGGTGGTGGCCACCTCCTCTTGTGACCTGCAAAAACTTCTACTGAGGCCTTCAGCTGGTCAGTGCCTGGAATCTTACCATTAGAAACTCACCTGCTGCTGGAGTGAATGAGTTTATCAGCGCTTATTGGGACGTGGTGAGTGAGACGATAAAGAGGCTTTGAGCTCCTGATTAGAGGAGAAGGGCAGGGAGGATAAGCACTGGGCAGGGCAGAAAGGGGGACTGAGAGGAGGTGGGGAAGGTAGATGGCATAGCCCTGAGCCAGGAGGTCACCCAGGGCTGGCAAAATGTGTAGACTATGATGGGCTTCAGCTTCCTTTTTTATGACGCTTTCTTCATTGTCATCAAGGAAATGAACTCTCATTAGAAAGTTGTCCCACATTGAACCCAGAGTGCATAGTTCTCTCCAGCAGACACTCACATTTACCAGGTAAGAAGGGAAAGAGCCAAAGAATTTGTATAGAGAATCTAAATCAGCTCCTGACTCGCTTTGGGAGCTGCAGGAAAACTGCTGGGGCCGGAGTCCGTGGGAGGACTAGACCAGACATCAGGATTCACTTCAGTGACCAAGACTGAGCATTTTAGGGCTAAAACTAGGGCAAGAACAGCCCATGGGCCAGCACTGTCTAACCAGCCAGCGAGGCAGCCACTTACCACTCATCAAATCTGACCTACAAGATGAGCCTTGTTTGCCACCCTAGACCCGCAACCCCCCATCACTGGATGCTCAGGAAAATTGAACCCAAGGAGGGAATGATTTGTTAGGATCCCCCTAAGTTGGTGGCAGAGGTGCCCTTTCTCTGCACCACCCAGTGGAAACACAAACCTAAAAAGCCTGGGAATCCGAGGATGCCCTTTAACTCTGAACTTTTGGCATTCTACGCATCTCACTGAAGTTGCTTTCCACAGCTAGTCCCCAGGGTTTGCCGAGCTGGCTTTGAGCCTCTCGCCTCCGTATCTGGGAGTCAGAGGGGAAAGGGCTGAGTTTATGGCCTCTGTGCTTCTGTGACTCTCTTTGGGCCTGTGTGGCTGGGAAGCTTGTTCTCACCCAGTTCCAGCCTAATTCCCAAGACCAAGATGTGGATAAGAATCTCTTTCCAGAGCTGAGAGCCCTGTTCTTTCCAGTCGCTGCAATGACAATTCCAGCTCTCTGGAGGCCAGGCTGGCCATGGCTCTGTGAGAACTACAGCGGGCAAGAGCAGCCACCTGGGGAAGGCAGGTGGGGCTGCCTGATGCAGGGAGAGGGTAGAGGGCTGCAATTGTCTTTCTGGGGCCTGGGGTTTGCAGCCCAGGAACCTGCCACTGGCCTTCGTAGGAATAAGATTGTTACTAACTACTAGGTGCTTACTGCTTGTTAAGCACTATGCTGAACTCTAAATGTGTGGTGACTCATTTAGTCATTACATGGAATCCTTTGAGGTAGACAATGCTGTTATCTTCATTGGGGAAACTGAGGCCCCAAGGCGTTAAGTAACATACCTGAGGTTAAATAGTAAGTAGTATAGACCAGGCAGGGCTGCTCCAGAATCCATGTCATTAACCACAGTGCTATACTGCTTCAAGTAGATGAGAAAGGAAGGATGTACAGAATCTGATTTCGTGTGCCCCTCAGCCTGGCATTCAAAGTTCTATATCCTCTGGCCCCCAGAGCATTTCTCCAGCCCCGGTTCTTGCCAAATAACTTCCTCTGCTTCTGCCACATCAATCTCTCTGGTTTCCTTGGCCTGCCATGCTCCATCGCTTCTCTGTGTCTTTGCACGTGTTCACTCTACCCTGTCCTCCTCATGCCTATGTGAACTCCTATGCACGCTTTAAGGCCTAGGTCACCTGTCCAAGGAGGGCACTGAGCCCCGCATAGACGAGATTTCAGTCAATGTGAGCACACCCTCTTGAAATGGACCCTTTGGGTTCCAAGTGACAGAAACCCAATTGAAGAGGACCAGTTAAATGAAAAACCCAGGAGTATATGATGTCAGGTTTGGCTGGATCAAGATATTAAAATGATGTATCTATTCTGGCCATCTGTGTTAGTCAGGGGTCTCCAGAGAAATTGAAGCAAGAGAGAGATTTTTATTTTAAGGAATTGGCTCACACAATCGTGGAGGCCAGCAGGGCCAAACCCTGCAAGGCAGGCCAGCAAGCTGGAGGCAAGGGAAGAGCTGATATTGCAGCTCCGGGCCAAAGCCAGTGCATTGGCAGAATGCTCTCTTCCTAGGAGGACATCAGCCTTTTTTCTTTTAAAGCTGTCAGCTGATTGGATGAGGCCCACCCACATGATGGAGGATAAGTCTACTGATTTAAATGTTAATCTTATCTAGAAAATGCCTTCACAGCAACATCTAGATGTGTTTGACCAAATATCTGGGTACTGCGGCCCAGCCAAATTGACACATAAGATTAACCAGTGTGCTGTCTCTGGACTCCTCTGTTTGGCTTCATTCCCAGATGGGCTCTTTTCACATGATGCCAAGATGGCCTCTGCTATTCTAAACGTATTCTACCAAGTAGTGCAACCCCAGGGAGAAAAGCACGCTTTTTCCTAATAGTTCCAGCTAAATCCTGAGGATTTACTCTGATTAGTTCAACATGGGGGTGTAGCCATCCCTGATTAGCCAGACCTGGGTCACACACCCACCCATGTAGCCAGGGTTTAGAGTAAGCCCATCCAGTACCACATGGACTAGGTAAAGGGGAAGGGTGGGTTCCAAAAGGAAAATTGGGGGCTGTTGCCAAAGAAGGAGAAACAGATCTAAGGCAGACACAGAGGGGTGTTCCCTGAGAACCCTTGTCCCCAGAAGTGCCCTTTCTCCTCCTTTTCACCTGTTCTTCCCCTTTCCTCTCCCTGTGACCTACACGGAAAGGGGCCTGTGGCCAAGACACCAGGGGTTCATTCCCTTGGTATGTGGAACCCTCACCAACTCCCAGCTGTCAGGGCTGGGTAGTTGGCCAACAGTTGGGAGTGAAAAATGGTATGTGATCTTGTATGACCACAGGACCCCCAAGGCTAAGATATGAGGGTTCCAGTACTTGTTCCCCAAATGTCCAGGGGTGAGAACTGAAATCTGACCTTAGTCACATTTGTTAAATCTCATTTTGGTTTCTTCAACTATAAAGGAGGTATAAATAGAACTTATTTCATGGAATTGTGAGGATCAAAGGAAATACAGATAAACTGCTTAGAAATAGTTCTTGGCCCTGAAATTAATATTAACTTAAAATCT